TGGCCCCCCAGCCAGTGGGATCTAAAAACAAACCAACCAAGAATTGTCATAGGGGATGAAAAGGTGGTCCTAAGTCTGATAGTGCCCTAGAGGATAGTTTTTAACTGCTACGGGAAATAAAGTTCTGAATTCTTTTTTTATTTAAATTTTTTTTTATTGCCCTCCCGTTGATCGTCGATTTGCTCGAGTGGGCCCAGTAACGTCTCCATTGGAGACATTGTTGTTACTGTGTTTGGCATATCGAATACATCACGGGGAGCTTGCCAGGCCCTGCCATGCAGGCGAGATACTCTTGGTAGCTTGCCGGGCTGCATCATCATGGGATTCAGTTATAGACTTACAAACTTTCATGATTACATTTCAGTCATACAATGATGGAGCACCCATCCCTCCACCAGTGCCCATTCTCCACCACCAATGTTGCCAGTATCTCTCCTACCACCCCCCAAATTCTTGAGTTCTGTGCAAGATTTCATCGTGGTTCTGTGGGAGCTGGGGGTGGTCCATGATTTTCAGCTTTAGGGCCGAGGACCTGTGCGATTCATGGTAGCAACAAAGTTTTATGTACCTGAAGGTCAGGGTGAGTTGGGATGGCATAGTACTGGGGGTTTTCGGAGGTAAAAGAGTTCATGACTTAAGAGCCCCTTTTGCTGAGAATGCCCCAATTTGGGGTTTTTTTGGTTATTGTTGGGGGACATACCTGGTGGTGCTCAGAGTTTACTCCTGACTCAGGGATCACTCTGGGCCATGCTCTGGGGCCCATGTTGGGTATTGGGGGTGGAACTGGGATCAGCTGTGTGCAAGGCACTGCCTTTCGCCCGTGCCTTCTCACTGACCTTGCACCCGTCTTTATACCAGGCAACCATCTCAGAGCAGCTCAGCCCCTACCTTCAGCGTCACACCCTTGCTGGCAAAGGAGGGGGCAGTCCCCCATCCTTGCATCCATCAGACCAGAAGTCCTTGCTCTCCCGCCGACCCCCACATCACCATGTGCTCTCTCCTCACTCCTCAGCCCCCCTCCACTGGGTTCTCTCACCCTTACTATGCACGGCTGTCCCCCACCCGCTTCCCTTTCAGATGAGACAGGACCAAGTGTATCTCCAGTCAGACAAGAAGGAAATCCAAGAGCAGGAACCCTTGGCTCTGAGACTAACTGACAAGGGCATTATTCCCATTCCTGTACATGCCCAGGGTGTCACTCTGAGGGTTCTTTTCCTTGCCAGCTTGCCAGATCTGGAGAGGTTGGGGCTTTTTCATCTTTTTTTTTTTTGCTTTTTTGGGTCACACCTGGTGATGCTTAGGGGTTACTCCTGGCTCATGCACTTGGGAATTACTCCTGATGGTGCTTGGGGACCATATGGGATGCTGGAAATCGAACCCGGCCATGTGCAAGGCAAACACCCTACCCGCTGTGCTATCACTCCAGCCCCCTTTTTCATCTCTTGATCCCCATTTTTGCCATCTCAGAAGCTGATGCATCATCACTCAGGAAAAGTTGACCAAGGAGATGTGAGTTCAGAGCCCAGAAAGCCTGGGAGGAGGGGGGTGCTGCCCTAGACCAAGTGGTGGGGGGCTGGGGCTGGGAGCTGTATGATTGTTCTGTCCAGAGCAGGACTCCAGGACCAGTGCCTAGTTCAGGGCCAGCACAGAGCTCTCCCCTTCTTCAGGGGAGGAATTGGGGTTCTGTAAGTGCCATGCAGGAGTCTGGCTGCAGCTGCCCCAGAGCTGGATATGCAGCCTCCTTGGTTGGGAGGAGAATCTGCAGGATGGAGGTTGTGTCAGGGGCTGTCGGGCTTGCAGAAGTGCCACCTGCCCCCGAGGTAGCCCTGCGAGCTTGACAGTTCTTCCAGGGCAAGCCTCAGTTTTCTCGAATGAATTTGAGACTGCTCTAGCTTCCTCATAGTTTGTTATTGTTGTTGTTTTTGTGTTGTTGTTGTTGAGGTTACATGGTTTAAATTAGTGTTAATATTTATGCTTTTTAAAATTTTTTTTTTTTACTTTCTGGGTCACATCCACCAATGCTCAGGCTTAATCATGGCTCTGCACTCAGGAATTAGTCCTGGCGGTGCTCGGAGGGCCATATGGAATGTCGGAGATTGAATCCAGGTCATCCGAGTGCAAGGCAAATACCCTCCACGCTGTACTATTGTTCTGGCCCCATGTTTATGCTTTTGATATACCAATTTTCTGTACCTCCACCATCACCATAGTGCCACACAGTCCCCCGTTTATCCTTATGTCACCTTATGGTGAAGAATAAATTAGGTGATTCATGTAAGTACTTTAGGGCCTAGCTCCTAGCAAGTACCCTGTAAATTGTAGTCATTACTTCCATTGTGAGCATCAGTAAGATTTGATTTGTGGAGGCTTGGAAGGTAACTGCAGTAGAGTGAGTGCTTCTCACATGGGAAACCTGGAGTCCAGTCCCCAGCACATACAAAAACTTTTTTGATTGTGTTAAAATTAAAAATGGAGACAGTAAAATAAAAGCTGATGCAGTAACCCAGAGTGTGGCATGTGGTGAAGATGTTGACAGTTCTTTGCTTGTGTTAGGGAGTATAAAATATAGGAGCATATACACTCTAAGAAATCAACAATTTGTAGACAGCCCCTGACTTCTAATGGCTCAGTGTAATGATTTTTGAGCTTCACAATGGTATTAAAGTGATACATGTTCAGAAGAAGCTAGCTTGAGTGCCATGTTCAACTTACCGATTGGCCAAGATGTAACCCCATCATAGATGGAAGAATTCTGAATATATGCTTATTCACCGATGTATTCCTAATGGCTGCAAAGCTTGCTTATATAGAGTTGACACCTAGTAAATATTTGATGAATAAATGCTTCCAAAGCGAGGCTCTTTCTGACTTCAGAACCCTAGTACGTGCCTTTTTCTCTCTGCCTGACGTATTATACCCTAAACTCTTCTCCTAGAAAGTTCTTATTCTGTGGGGATGAGAACTTCTTCCCAAAAGGTCTCTCCTGAGCATCCCTCACCACCACAATCAGTGCCTGTATTTCTCTCTCTCAGACTGTTTGTCATTGTCCTTTTAGCATTCTTTAATTGACAGTCACAGTTATGTTTTCATCTCTTCAGTATCTGTTTCTTTCACTGGAGCAGAACCTGTGGCATTATTCAGTACCTGAGGGGTGGGAATGAAACTCATCCATGCATCCCCAGGCCGAAGCCTGGTAAGCTGTGGGCATTGAGTAACTCCTGCTTGAAGGAACAGACTAGAAGTGTTTGGAGGAAGGGAACCCAGGCTGGGTAATGCTCCTTGGCATTTCTTTGTGGTACTGAGATGAAGGTTGTCCTCTTGACCAGAGTTCTGGGCTGCATTCAATTGTGAGCTCAAAACTGCTGTTGCTTGGAAAGTGTATGCCATTAGTATTCTAATGGATTTGACCCAGTTCCTGCTCTGGGCACAGAGGCAGAAGACCCCTGTCTGTGTTATGTCATGCCCCAATAATGACTTTTCCTGTAACTGGGACTGTTTATCGTCTCACATTTCTGAGGGCCAAGTACCTTAGGGGAACTTGAGTATTGGAGGGGTCTCTAAACCAAAGAACGCCACCCCATAAGGCGGCTGTGAAGGACAAGTGAAGTGGATTTGTCAGGACGAGGGTGTGAGGTGTGGCAGACAGGCAGTGGGACTTGGGTCCCTTCAGCCCCTGTACTGCGTGGAGCATGGCATCATGGGACTCTGGAATGGCAAGCAGGGGTTAGATTCTCATAGGTGTTTGTTTCACCTTCCTACCATGCCGATGTTGCCCACTCTGGGCCATGAGGCACAGCGATGTGGGGCTGGGATCTGCATGTCATACTCAAACACACCTTGGACCCCAATTCTTAGTTTCTCTGTACTTGCACCTCCTGGAACTGACCCCCACCTCCTCAGGGAGGCTGGATTGCCTACTGGTTAAGTTAGGTCTTTGAAATCATGAACATCACACTTTCCCTTCCTGGGTTCCTCGGCCTTGTAGGTCAGCACGCTTCCAAAGAAAGCTGGCTAATTATATCCCTTGTGGGAAGCCAGAATCCCACATGAGGAGCAGAGCAGTGGCTGGAGCTGGGTGGGAGCAACCACCGCTTTGGCTTTTCACATGGGAGGGGGGTGGCGGGGGAGGCAGGAGGCAGGGAGGAGGAGGGTGAGAATATGGGGACGTGGCTATTCAGGATTTGTTGCCTCTCAGCCTTCCTCTCCCCGATTCAAGAGGTACTGGGAGGCACCCTCCTGTGTGTGTGTGTGTGTGTGTGTGTGTGTGTGTGTGTGCCTGCCTCTGAGCCTTCCTCACCTCGATTCAAGAGGCACTAGGAGGCACGCTCGTGTGTGTGTGTGTGTGTGTGTGTGTGTGTGTGTGTGTCTGTCTTTCTGTCTGTATATCTGTATGTCTGTCTGAGGTGCAGGAGGAGGGTGGGAATACATGTCTGTTCAGGATTTGTTGCCTCTAAGCCTTTTCTCTGGAATTCAAGAGGCACTAGGAGGCACCCTCCCGGGTGTGTATGTGTGTGTGTGTGTGTGTCTGTCTGTCTGTCTTTCTGTCTGTCTGTCTATATATCTGTCTGAGGCGCTGTTCTAGATAGATCCAGAATGATCTCACAGCCCCACAGTGCTGGGGAGCAAGCAGAACAAAGGGAAGCAGGCCGGGAGGCTGAGGCAGGCTGGAGACCGGAAAGCAGAGAAGCTTTCCCACACAGTTGGGGAAACTCCGTGGCTATGGCTCTCCACGTCTCCCTCGGCTCTGTCCCACTCCATGTGGCTCGTGTCCTCTCTCCTTCTCTGCCCCCTTCACTCTCCACCCTCCCTTCTGGAATCCATGTTGAATCATCTCCTTTCCTCCGACCCCTGAAATCAGACTTTCTAGCAAGGTGATCATCAGAGCACACAAAGACCCAGAACTGGCAAAATGAATTGGTTATCGTCTTCCCCTCCCTGGTGCCATGAGCAGTGGCCTCATTCCCTGATGCAAGGGTGCTCAAACCAAGTCTTGTCCACAGACCGACGCTGAGAAGCACTCCCAGGTGGAAAGGACTGCCCTGTGGCCTGGCGACGATGTCAAGAAGTCAGACGGCGGGTCCGACTGCGGCCTAAAGATGGAGCCAGGTTCCAAGTGGCGGCGGAACCCCTCGGACGTGTCCGACAAGTCGGACAAAAGCACGTCGGGCAAAAAGAACTCCGTCATCTCACAGACGGGCTCATGGCGGCGGGGCATGACTGCTCAGGTGGGCATCACCATGCCACGGACAAAGCCCGCCGCCACAGCAGGCACACTGAAGACCCCGGGAACCGGTAAGTTCCAAGCAGATGGGTGCATGCAGCCGCTCTCTGCAAAGCCTTCGCAGTTCGGGGTCCCCATAAATCCATATAGATGCATCCAGTTTGGGCTGACATCCACAGAACTTCTCGCCCCCTCCCTCCCTTTGTCTGTGTGGACATGTAGGTAAGCCTGTGGGGGCCAAATGGGTCAATTTGACCCTTGCAGGTAAGGAGGCAGTTCAGGGTATTTATTTGGGGGTTGTTGGTAGGTTGAGGTGTCCACAATTTAGGGATGTGTGTGTGAATGAGGGCCATGCGGGGAGTAGTGGGTATCCACACAGGATTTTAATGGGCAGAGGGGAAGAGTCAGAACAGACAGGTGCTCTTGGGACAGGCCGGTGTGAAGCTGGCTTTGCTTTATTCTGGGCAAATTTAGACTGCAAATGGCTGAAATCCTTCTCATCTGCTAGAGGTTGATGATAGAGATGATAGTCTCTTTCTATTTTTTTTTTTTCCTTTTGGGTCACAACCAGCGATGCACAGGGGTTACTTCTGACTTTGCACTCAGGAATTGCTCCTGTTGGTGCTCGGGGGGACCATAAGGGATGCTGGGAATTGAACCCCGGTTGGCTGCATGCAAGGCAAACGCCCTGCCCACTGTACTTTCGCTCCAGCCCCGAGAGTCTCTTTCTAAAATGCTCTTTTCGAGGCTGGAGCGATGGTATAGTGGGTAGGGCATTTTCCTTGCATTCATCTGACCCAGGTTCAATCCCCAGCATCCCATATGGTCCCCCAAGCACCGCTAGGAGTAATTCCTGACGTGCAGAGCCAGGAGTAACCCCTGTGCATTGCCAAGTATGGCTCCAAAAGCAAAAAAATAAATTAAAATATAAAGCTCTTTTCCTTTCCTTTTCTGGGGTATTGCTTTCCCAAAGGAAAAGGAAGGGAAACAGCTCTTTGGAAAATCTTAAACAGAGTAAGCTGGCTCTTTGGGGTTTTGTTGTTGGTTGTTGTTGGTTTTAGACCACACCTGGTGGTACTCAGAGGCTATTCCCATTTCTGTAATCAGAGGGTCACTCAAGAAGTGCCGGGGAACCAACATGCCGGGCTCTCATATGCAAGACCAGTGTCATGTCTGCCCTTTGAGCCATCACCCCCTGGCCCTCAGCTGGCTTTATTTTTGTTTGTTTTGGAGCCACACCTGGCAGTACTGAGGAGCTTAGTCACAGCTCTGCTCCAGGATCATGCCTGCCAGTGGTCAGTGGGAAATCTATACTGTGGTGCTAAGTACCAAACCAGGGTCAGCTGCGTCCAAAGTAAATGCCTTCACCTCTGTGCTGTCTCTCCAGCCCTTGAGCTGACTTCTTCTTGATCTGCAAGCTAACCAGTCTGATTTCTCTCTAAGGAAAAACAGATGATGCCAAGGTGTCTGAGAAAGGAAGGCTGTCCCCCAAATCCTCCCAAGTGAAGCGTTCCCCATCCGACGCCGGCCGCAGCAGTGGAGACGAGTCCAAAAAGCCCCTCCCCAGCAACTCCAGGACGCCCACGGCCAATGGCAACAGCTTTGGGTTCAAGAAGCAGAGTGGCTCAGTGGCGGGTCTGGCCATGATCACAGCCAGTGGGGCCACGGTCACGAGCAGGTCCGCCACCCTGGGCAAGATCCCAAAGTCATCTGCTCTGGTGGGTCGGTCGGCGGGCCGGAAGACGAGCATGGATGGGATGCAGAATCAGGACGATGGTTATCTGTCTCTCAGCTCTCGTACGAACCTGCAGTACCGGAGTCTGCCGAGGCCCAGCAAGTCGACCAGTCGGAATGGGGCTGGAAATAGGTCTAGTACCAGCAGCATTGATTCCAACATCAGCAGCAAGTCAGCAGGTTTGCCTGTGCCCAAGCTGAGAGAGCCTTCCAAGACGGCCCTGGGCAACTCTCTGCCGGGTTTGGTCAACCAGACAGATAAGGAGAAAGGCATCCCATCGGACAATGAGAGTGTGGCTTCCTGTAACTCAGTCAAGGTGAATCCTGCCGCCCCACCATTGTCCAGCGCCGCTCAGGCCTCCCTGCAGCCAGGGGCCAAGTACCCGGATGTGTCCTCTCCTACTCTCCGAAGGTGAGTGGTCAGTGGTGCTGAGCATAGCTGGCAGGCATGTCACACATGGCCTCCTGGAGTCAGAATGTCTTGCTGCTTTGGTTAAAGCAGACTCTGTTGTTCTTTGTTTCAGTCCTAGGGTGGAAGGTCTTGGTGTCAGCTCCTGCTGTGGTTTTGCGGCCAACTGATCCTTTTTCCAGGTTGGGGATGAAAAACAAAAGCTTCTTGGAGTCATTCACTCTAGAATCAAATCCTGGGTCACTTCGGTCAGCTACTCTGAAACCTTTATTAAGAAATCTGCCTGAATTTCCTCATCTGTAAAATTGGGGTAGTACTAGGAACTACCTGAACATTATTTTTGAAGACTCATCTAGGTACCCAATGTAGCCCATAGTAAGCACTCAGTGAAAGCTAGCTTTCATCCAAGATGAGGTTGTACTACCTTTTTTTTTCTTTTTTGATTTTTTTTGCTTTTTGGGTCACACCTGGTGATGCTCAGAGGTCACTGCTGGCTCATGCACTCAGGAATTAATGGCAGTGCTCGGGGGACCATATGGGATGCTGGGAATCAAACCTGGGTCGGCTGCATGCAAGAAAAGTGCCCTACCCGATGTGCTATCACTCCAACCTGTGCTACATCTTTTTTTTTGGGGGGGGGGGTCGCACCTGGTGATGCACAGGGGTTATTCCCGGCTCTGCACTCAGGAATTAATCCTTTCGGTGTTCAGGGGACCATATGGGATGCTGGGAATCAATCCCAGGTCAGCTGTGTGCAAGGCAAACGCCCTACCCGCTGTATTATTGCTCCAGCCCCTGTGCTACATCCTGATACTTTCTCAGGCCAGGTTGAGTGGTTGATAAAACAGACTTTTTTTCCCACCCTTATCTTGATCATTCTGTGCCTGAGATTCTTCATCATTATACCAGTGATTTTGGACAGATCCTTTGTTCAAATAGCTCAGGAGTCCTCATATACTTCATACTGCATGCATTATTCCAAATTAGTCTCTAAAATGTATCTTTCTTTAAAAAAAAATGTGTTTGTGGTGGGGATCCCATGTCAAAAGTCTTGTTCTGGAAAAGAGAAAGTGATGTTCTATTACCTTAAATTGCTATTCTTAAGCATTTGCACACTGGATTTAAAACAAAATTATTTGTTTTTATGGTCCATACCTGGCAGAGCTCAAGGCTTCCGTCTGAAGGATGTCATTCCTGTCAGGGATCATTCCTGGAGGTGTTTAAGGTACCAGAACCAATGCCAGGGATTGAACCCAAGTTGACTGTACAAGATAAGCACCTTATTTGCTATACTATCTCTCTGGCCCCTGGTGGAAATTTTTGCATGAAATTATTAGTATACACAGTTTTGTTTTGCTTTGTTTTTTCTCCCAGATACCTTTAAAAATGTATCCATAGTACTTAGATTGATAATAGAAAATTAAGGCTTGCATGTGACCTGTTCAATCCTCTACTTCAGTTCCTGGCACCCCATATGTTCCCCCAAGCACTGCCAGAAAAGACCCCTGAGTGCAGCCAGGTGTGGTACCAAAACCAAAAATAAGTAAATTAAAATTTATCCAGCTTTTGTGAGCAAGAGATGTGGCTCAGGGGCAAAGTGCTTGTGTTTTTTGTTTTTTTTTTAAATTTTTGGGCCACACCCAGCGATGCACAGGAGTTACTCCTGGCCCTGCACTCAGGAATTACTCCTGGCAGTGCTCAGGGGACCATATGGAATGCTGGGAATTGAACCCAGGTCTGCCACGTGCAAGGCAAATGCCCTACCCGTTGTACTATCGCTTGTGCATGAGACTTGGTATCCATCCCCACACCACAAAAAAGAATCAGCAAAGCTCATTGCTCTGGATCTGTGATGGAGCTAAGTGGGAGAGCACTTGCCTCACGTGTGTACTCATCATGGGTTTAATCTCTGGCACTGCGAAAAGAAAAAAATCTTTGCCTACCTATATTATTATCTCATTATAATATTCACTGGGCCATTCTCAGTCAGCAAGTGCATAGAGCAAAACTTTTTCTACCTTCCCTAGAAATTTTCTGTCATGGGAAAGAATAAATCCCAAGGACAGAAAACTAAGCAGTGAAAAAAAAAATTATGTGCACATGTCCATATTTGGGGATGAATAAGAATGTTTGAAAAGACTTCAGAAGAAACATTCCACATGAAAGGTATAATGAAACAGCTTGCTGTTCTTTGTCTAGACTTGATTATTAGAATTTCAATAATGATTATTTTTTCAAGGGAAGGTCCTATTGGGCTGTTCTTTGTTGTTTTAACAGATTGCCTTGTAAATGAAAATTTTTCTATTTCTCGCCTCAAGTCTTCTCTGTAATATTCATTCTTTGGTATTATGGTTTCCCTTTAGCAACTACAAAGGCGTTTTACTAGCTCTTTACACTGGTATAATAGATTCTTGAAAATCGTACAGCTTCTAGGCTCTGTCCTGAGCACTTTTTAACCAATTCGTGGTAGAGGTAATTACATTTTTCCTAAATTGTTAAGACGCTCTCAGTTCTCTCCTTGCACATGAGTATCAGGGAGAAGAGAAGTCAAAGCCTGAAGGGTGATCACTCTTTTCAAATTATTTGGAGGACTAATGGAATCAGGTCTTTTCTGAGTAGTGACACATAACAGGACAGGGAGCAAAGTCTGAAAGTCAGAAATAGGTGAATCAGAGTTTGGTTTTCTGATCCTGTGAAGTGTTTGACAGTGGTGCACAGTGCCTTGAAATGTAGGGAGGTCCCCATCACTAGAAACATTAAAGCATCCTAAAAGTGGAAATTCTACAATAAGAGAGCTCATTCTCCTTCTTACCAGGTCAAGTAACCAATGTTACTTCTGTCACCAGTAACAGTGAGGGCCAAATATGACTTTGTTTGGTTTTCCAAAAACTGAGACATAGAAGGATGCTTTGGCAAGTACAGTGGTAAATTGCATCCTGCCTTGAGTGATTGGTGGATCTACATCTAGGCAGTTGTTCCATTACTTCTCACAGATAACCCGATAACCTCTCCTGTGGGGGTGCAAGTGGATGCAGCGTGTTAATAGTGTGTGCACTACCCTCTGTTTTTGCCAGTTCTTTTTTTTTTTTTAAATTTTTATTTGGGCTTTTGAGCCACACCTGGGGATGCTCAGGGGTTACTTCTGGCTCTGCACTCGGGGGTCATTCCTTGCTGTGTTTGGGATTGCAGGAATCAAACCCAGATTAGCTATGTGCAAGACTATCCCTCTACCCATAGAACTACTTCTCCAGCCCTAGCCCCTGTGTTCTAATGAAGCAGTTGGGGTCAAGAACTGTGGGAGGTGATGTGGAATGATACTTCTCTGTCAGAGACACAGTTCCTACCCTGTAGGTTCAATCTATGAACTTGTGGACTCCCCAGAGCTTTGTGTCTGTTTTGGGATAGCTCTTTGGCTCTAAAAGACATCCTACAGTTTGGACTTTTACTTGAGGATACATCTGTGAAGGTACTTGACCTTTCCCAGGTTCTCTCCAGACTGTTTGATTCTACTTGCGATGCTTAGGGGGCCAAAGAAACCTACTGGCTTAGAGTTGAGCTATTCAGAAGCCAAGTAGCTGCTTGGTGTAGAGGTCTTGGCTGCAGAGACAATTAAAAGATAATTAACACCCTCCAGACATTCCTTGGCCTGGGTTCTTTTCTCAGGAAGAGAAAGGGAAGCAATCTTTTGGGCCATTGCAGGTGGGCCTGTACAAAAGTGTTCTCCATTGCCCTGAGGCTCAGAGAGAGCCAGGGCTCAACCCTAATCTCAGACTTACAGCTGGAGTCTTGGGTTACACCAGTGTCCAGGTTCCCCCAGTGTCCAGGTCCCCTCTGTAGTAGCCTGGCCCAGTGGAACTCTTTAGCCATTTCAGTAGGTCTGACTGTGCCTCCCTCCCCAAAGAACTCACCATGGCTGCACCCTCACCAGCACACACACATATACAGTCAACACACTCACATACAACCAGACATACACCAGCACACAATTGTTCATATGCATACACCCACACACTCATGCACATAACTCATACACAATCACATACACACAGCCACACATACACACACATTCATACATACATTAATACGCATTCACGTGTGTGTGTGCGTACACACACACACACACACACACACACATACATACAACAGTCCCACAGCTCAGTTTCCCTCAGCCCCGGGTTTGAGTTCAAGCCGCACAACCCTTTGTCTTTTCACAGACTCTTTGGTGGAAAGCCTACCAAGCAAGTGCCCATCGCCACAGCTGAAAACATGAAAAACTCGGTGGTCATCTCCAATCCTCATGCCACCTTGACCCAGCAAGGGAACTTAGAGTCCCCCTCAGGCAGCGGCGTCCTGAGCAGCGGGAGCAGCAGCCCTCTCTACAGTAAGAACGTGGATGTCAGCCAGTCTCCGCTAGCCTCCAGCCCCAGCTCGGCCCACTCGGGCCCCTCCAACAACAGCCTCGCGTGGGGCACCACCGCCAGCAGTTCGTCTGCAGTTAGCAAGGACGGCCTGGGCTTCCAGTCCGTCAGTAGCCTTCACACCAGCTGCGAGTCCATTGACATTTCCCTCAGCAGCGGAGGGGCACTGAGCCACAATTCCTCCACGGGCCTCCTCGCCTCCTCTAAGGACGACTCTCTGACGCCCTTTGTTCGAACCAACAGTGTGAAGACCACACTGTCAGAAAGGTCGGTTGCTGTCTGTGTGCCGGGTGGCCTAGGGCTCTCATTGGAGGCAGGCTGTTGGGCAAGGGAGCCCCCGGACTCACCCTTCCACTCACAGCCGTCTTGTACCCGTGCGGGCTCCAGTTGGCCCTTTAGAATCCCGCTCCTCTCTCTGCTTCCTCTTAGTTTTTGTCACTGTGGTGCTGCTCAGTGCTTGGAGCTGCTAGGAGTTGGGGGCGCAGGAGGGGGAGCAGGCTGAACCCCTCCGTGGCCAGTGGCGTTCTGCCACGGAGTCCTCCCGTGTTTCTCTGCTGGCTCTTTTTCCTTCCCTCATCGCTATGTGGGGAGAGTATACGCAGGTGCTTTGAGATGCTCGGTGGTCCTCCTGGCACACTCCCTGCTGGCTGAAGGCAGAGAGGGAGTGGGTGGGGCCGGGCTGAGTGGCAGGAAATGAAGAATCCCAGGGCATCTTTGGAGCTGTGCCTCTCACCCAGTGGGAGCAGGGCACTGGCTGAGAGCCAGGATCCGCCCCGGGAATGAGAAAAATGTTCTGATGGTTGTATGTGTGTGTGTACGCGACGGCTCCCTTTGCTTCCCATCTAATGTGCCTTCTCTTGTTTTCTACCTGCCTGGACCTCTAGCCCTCTCTCTTCCCCTGCTGCTAGCCCTAAGTTCTGCAGAAGTACTCTGCCCAGGAAGCAGGACAGGTAATGACTTGGTAGGACCGGGCACCACCCCCCTCCCACCCTCCCTGCCCCCGCCAGCCCCTAGGTTCCTCTGCCCACCTTTGTTGAGCTGGATGGTTCGTGTGAGGCTGCTGGCCTGAGGCTTCTGCTTGTGTACTTTGTGATTCCTGCCCTCCCCGCCCCCCGCCCACCGACCACCCCCAGACATACCAGTGAGGGGCTCTGCTGGGCTGTCTGCCACACTGACTGGGGAAGCTCCCTCCAGAACTGGGGGCGGCCTCGGCTCTCACTTGCACTGTGCATCTTCGTTTTCCTGTGGCATGCTCCTGCTCCCCCACTTCCCGCTCTCTCCTCCTGCCAAGTCCAGATCCCATCTGCCACCCACGGGGCGGCTGGGCCCTCACCTTGGCCTTCCCTGACCGCCCCACTCCCCACGCGGCTGGTTCCTCTTCCTCTCCCTGTTCCCTCTGCTGCGCTTTGGCCGTCTCATTGTGTCTTGTAGACTGTTGTGTTCCGCGCGCACGTGCCCCCATTTCCTGTTAGGAGAATGAAAACAACTTTTGGGGAGGTGCGGGGACTTTTCCCTTGCGGAGGGGGCTTGTTGGTCCTCAGTGGCTCCTGTGGGTGGGCCTCAGAGCTGGGTACTGACTATAAATTGGGAGTCGGGGGACAAACTATGACTGGGCCAAACATAGCAAGTGCTGCTTCGAACTAAAAAAAAAAAAAAGCAAAAGGGGCTGGAGCGATAGCACAGTGGGTAGGACGTTTGCCTTGCACGCAGCCCTCCTGGCTTCAATTCCCAGCATCCCATATGGTCCCCCGAGCACTGCCAGGAGTAATTCCTGGGTGCATGAGCCAGGAGTAACCTCTGTGCTTCGCCGAGGGTTACCAAAAAAAGCAAAAAATAAATAGATAAATAAAAGAAAAAAGAACGAGTAATGATGGGACTGGAACAATGGTACAGCGGGTAGGACACTTGCTTTGCACACAACCAACCCAGTTTCAATCTCCGACACTTCGTATGGGTCACAGAGTCCCACCAGGAACAATCCCTGACTGCAGAGCCAGGAGTAACCCCTATGCACTATTGGGTATGGACCAAAGATATACAAAAAAACAAAAAAAAAATATTATGCCTCTTCACCCCCCACCACCACAGTGAATACCTTGGGTGTTATGTTTTTGCTTTGGGTTTTGGTTTTTTGTTAGATGCCTAGACCCAGCCCTTAAATGCTTGCTCTCTGGGAATCCAGTTGCCTTCTATGTATCAGGCAGCAAGGCAAGTCGGAACATGCCCTGACGCCGGTCCAGAGCCCAGCTCCTGGCAACACCCCACAAGGGCCGCAGAAAATGAGAGGGGACCAGGAATTCACTTGTTCCGGTGAATGAATTCCAAATATGCAGACTGCTGGCCTCTTGAAACTCCCCAGCACGTCCCTTCTCTTCCTTGAAGATACTGCCAATGGCATTTGGGGCGGTGGAGGGGGCGGGGGGGGGGGGGGAAGTCGTCTCAGCTTGGGGTGCAGGGAAGCTGGTTTCTCCCTCTCTGAGGCGCGCTGGTTGGTGATGCAGACATGGGCGACAGGTCGGCCGAAGTCATGGGCTCTCCTTGGAGGTGGGGCAACCCTGCATCTTGCTCTGAGCGTGGGGGAGAGAAGGAACCCTGGAGGCTGAGGGGCCTCCTGGTGGCTTGCTGGGGCCAGGTGGGGGGTAGGGGGGTACAGTTCCCAGTGGTGTGAGCCAGCCCAGGTGCTGTTTGCAAGGAGGAGTTGCATGCCCAGCTGCAGCTGACTCCGGGAGCCCTTCCTGGTGACGTGAGTTTCTTCCTCCAGGGTTCTTTGCTCTCTGCCCACAGCCGCACTTCCCCGTGCCTCTCTGAAGCTTTGTTTGTTTGTTTGTTTGTTTGAACTTTCCTACAGTGACCCGCACCTTGATAGGAACACTTTGCCTAAGAAAGGACTCAGGTACTGGTGCTTCCTCCTTGCATCTTGCCATCCCACTGGCTCTGGGGCTTGGCTGTGGGACTCTCATTGGCTGGGGGTGTCCTCGCCTTGGTCCCAGGGGCAAGGCCTTGAGGACACTGGCTTTCTGCTCACGCTGTCTTCCCTCTCACTCCATTTGTGGCTAAGGGGCTTGGGCACCAGCTGTGCTTTTTTGGGCTTTTTGTGGTCAGACCATCTCACAAAACCCATCCTGGCTTCCACCCAGTGAGCAGCTCCTGCATGTCAGGGCCACAGGCTTCATCGCTGAGCATCCCACCATCATCATTGTGTGGGGGGGACTGCCTTCCGGGTGAAATATCCGACTTACAGCATGTTGCTTTGCCAGCCAGGACAAGAGCCAACGAGGAAAGATTCCCACCCCACCTCACCCCAATTTGAAAATATTCAACCGTTAAGCCCAGTGTGAGAGGCAGATTCTTTGTACTTGTCTGAATATTCTGACTGAAGGTTGGGCTGGTTCCCCAAGCCCAGCAAGGACCTGGGGTTGAGAGGCTGGCCTGGGAGCTCATCCAGGAGTTAAGGTGTTTGGCTTGCGTGTGGCCAGTTCTGGTTTGATCCTCGGCACCATATATATGATTCCCCTAGCACCACCAGTAGTGATCCCTGGGCATAGAAGCAGGAATAACTCCTGAACACGGTCAGGTGTGACTCAAGTCCCCCACCTCACAAAAATAGGATGCGGGGTTCAAAAGATGATCATAAAGGAGTGTGCTTTTATCCCTCGTAAGTGCCACTCAGCTCACTGGGGATCAGCTAGGCTAGTCCTGGTAAAACAAGATGCTAGAAGTCGCCATGGTGCACTGGCACCACTCAGGAAACCAGAGGATGTCATTTCTAATGCCTGCCCTTGAGCGTGCTGTCTGGTGGTTGCCGCTGCCCTTTCTCTGCTCTCGAAACACCTCGTTCTTTGTAGCATTGGCTTCATCCCACACTCAGCATTAGTGCTTTTGGAAAAGAAAGAAAAAAAAGAGTGGAGGGACAACTTGGAATGAAATGTTTCAATGCTGTCATGTATGTCTATAGTTAATAACCTGCAACTCTTAAGACTGAGGGTGTTTTGAACAGTAATGGGAGGTAGGTATCAATACTTCCCTTTAGTAGGTGCTCCTCGAATAGCCTTTTCTGAAAACCTAAAGTAAATGGCTGAGAATTATCCACAATGCATGGCCTGTGCAGCTCTTTGGCCATAGAAGAGGGAGCTGGTAGGGTCTTTGGAATTGACTTGTTTTTCTAGTGCCTAGGAGAGCTGCTGTGGCAGTCAGCCTCCAGTCTGAAGGGATGACCACTCAGGATCAGCCTGACCCCCTCTGCTGTGCCAAGAAGTGAACTAACCTTACATGCATTAGCTTTTCAGAATGCTGCTCTTGTTTCTACAGCTCATCTATCAAAATTAGGACGCTTTGATTTTTAAAATTAGTCTTTAAAAATTCCTAATAGGGGCATGTGATAGACTCATCAGGAGAGCAAGGGACAGAAGGTTGCCTGCCCATCAACGACAGTGAAAATATGAGGACGTAGATAGATAGATAGATAGATAGATAGATAGATATGTATCTATAGATATATACAATGTTTTTGATGACACCCAGCAGTGCTGGAGAACCAGGTGGTGCTTCTGCGTGCCCCAAGCTTTACACAATCTTCTGGCCCAGAATACACACACACACACACACACACACATACTTTTTTGTTTTGTTTTATTTTGGGTCCCACACTGCTGTGCTCAAGGTACCATGTCATGCCTGAAGTTGAATTCAGCCCTCCATGAAAAATGTGTCCTTTAGATCCAAGGAAAATATTATGATTTCTGGGTTTTTTGTTGTTGTTATTGTTGTTGTTTTATTGTTTGGGGGCCACAAAATGGTGGTGTTCAGGGTTTACTCCTGGATATGCACGCAGGGATTAGTCCTGGCAAGGTTCAGGATTCTGTGTGGGGTTCTGAGGACCCAACTCTGCCCCTCTGTACTATCTCTCTCTGACTCTGGAAGAAATTTTTAAACTCCCCATCAAGCTGACTTTTTGTTAGCTCACCCTCTCTATTCCTCACCTATCTGTTACCTGTATGCCAACACCATAGGTTGTTGTTATTTTTTTTCTAAGCCAAAATCCACCTTCTGTGCACATAATCAGTAGTCACTCCATGGTGATCTATAAATTTCCAGGGTACTTCTGGCAATTCAGAAGTACCTTAGGAATTCCACCTTTTACTGCAGACCTCCTGAGAAGACCACAGATTTTGGAATCAGATGGATTCCAGCCCCAAAAGGGGCTGACATGTTGCCATGACTTGCCCGGTACCCATTATCCCTTTTGCTGAATGCTGATGGGAGTAAGAGCACCAGAGGTGCCAGCTTAGTCAAAGGATGCCATGAGATTATTGTGAAGCCATCTAGCTCAGGGACAAATCCTCACCAGATACGTTCCAGAAAAAAAAATGCGAAGGTGGATGGCATGCCATCTGAAGACCCCACCTCCTAAAGATTTGGAGCTCCTTTTGCGAAGACCAGGCTGTGAGCCTGGTGTCCGTGTGTCCGTGCCCCTGTTCTCCTTTGCTTTCTCATAGGCTTTGACTCAGGGCCACTTCCTGGTCCATTTGGATTAAAAAAAAAAGTATGAGTTTCCCAAGTAAAATGCCCCCTAAAGCTGCTGCTATTGCTCCTGCTCTGCCAGGGAGCTCATTTTGACAGGACACTGTCACATATGAACATGTTACAGGGATGCCCAGTGGCAGCTCTTTATAGCCTAGACCCATCTTGCTCTCTGGCTGTGTCCGTTACTTTCCAACTTGAAAGGAACTTTCAACTTGAAAAAAGCGGCCAAATGCAAAAAAAAATCTTGTAAGTTTCAGGATTTATGATACACTTGATTTTTTTCTCCCCCTACCTTACATCCCATTTGAATATTTCTTTTCCTTTTCTGTGTTGATTATCAGCTCCCAGAGCTCTTTGTTCTCCGTGTGGCTCACAGTTCACCTCCCCCTTGACTTCTGTCTGTCTAGGTATACTCCCACCTCCCAGCTTCGCACACAAGAAGATGCAAAAGAATGGCTGCGGTCCCACTCGGCGGGCGGCCTGCAGGACCCAGCCGCCAATTCCCCCTTTTCCTCCGGTTCCAGTGTGACCTCCCCCTCGGGAACGAGATTCAACTTTTCCCAGCTTGGTGAGTAGCTGCTTTTCTATGGACTTTTTTTTTCCTTGCTCAGTTCCATAGAGCAGAGGCTAATTTCAGTTGTGAGTTAGCCCCCCTCCTCCTGCCCCTCTTCCCAACTTTCTTTGTTTTTATTTTATTTTTGGATTTTGACCCACACCTGGCTGTGCCTAGGGCCTACTTCCTGGTTCTGTATTCAGGAGTCACCCCCTGACAGAGTTCAGAATGATTAAACTCAACTGTGTGCAAGACAAGCGCCTTACTGGCTGGTTTATCTCTTTGGCACTGTTTTTGATGACTGGATGGCACACATGATTGCCTGTGGGATTTGCACACTTGATCACAGTGTTTGCCTGCCAGGAGTCACACTCTTGTCGTTCTGGTGCTTATGCACTGGACCACTCAGGATTCTTTCATTTTGTAGCATATATATATATATATATATATATATATATATATATATATATATCTGGCTGCTGCCATGCAGCTTGAAAATGGCTTGTGACACAGGGATCTTGGACGCAAAGAGCAGAGCTGCCAGGACAGTGCTCCTCCAGGTAGGAGGTCCCAGGAATCAATGAACCTTGAGCCTCTCACTTACCTTGACCACCAAGTCACTCCTCCAGCCCCTTAGCATGCCATTTTTAAAAATTTATTTATTTATTTGCTTTTTGGGTCACACCCAGCGATGCACAAGGGTTACTCCTGGTTTTGCACTCAGGAATTACTCCTGGCAGTGCTCGGGGGATCATATGGGATGCTGGGCATCGAACCTAGGTTGCCCGCATGCAAGGCAAAACGCCCTACTCGCTGTACTATTGCTCTAGCCCCCTTAACCTGTCATTTAAAAGAGACACATGGTCACTTCCTTCTTGGTACCCGCTTGCCCTCAGCAGCATCCATCATGAATTCACAGGAGATTTATAGCAAAATAAATAGAAAAGTTGTGGGTGCTCCACTGAGACCTTTTCTTTACATGATTGATACCAGTAGGATTATAGCAAAGAGCAGGCCACCCACTTCTCGCAGAGAAGGCGTTCTTTCTCTACGAGTTCTGAAGAAGCAGGTTTTACTATTTGCCCCATGTTTGGTAAGCCTCCTTGCTGTATTAAGCAGCAAAAAGAAGATGAGTTAGGAGCTAGATTCTATTTCCAAGTTTTGTTGGAAATGCCACCCACTGACATGGTAACACTTTGACTGCTACAGGGGTGGAAGGAAAATTCGCAGCCCAGTCCTTGCTGCCTTATCAATAGATTCTTTTTTCAGAGTGACAAACACACTTCTGCTGACTCTTAAGTGGAATGAAAGAGAATAACCCCGAGTTTAATGTGAAACTGTGGCAGAGTTCAAGATGATCAGATAGTGAATTCTGTATACACAGAAAAGGGAAAGTTCAGTCCAGGCTTGGGGTGGGGGTTCCTGGAGGTTTTGGAGAATGGGCGCTGAGCCTTGGAAAACTGATAAGAGGGAAAATAATCATCCAGTCTCATTTTTAGAGAGTCCTCATTTTCTAAAGAATGTGAAGAGTAAATGTGCTCTCCTGAACACTTAGTGGGCTTGTAATTAAGTGGGACTTAACTCTTCACTGTTTGTTAACTAAGTTGATGTGGTTGGAAATAGTGTTCATTGCTAGATGACATTAATCCTTTTGTGCCTGTCTCTGTACTGGACCTCTGTCGCCACCATTATTAAGTGTTCCCCAGCAGAGGCCATGCGACCTGCATTTGTATTGTACTTTCCCAGCTGTATCTCTTCGAGGTAAGAGTTTCTTGTCATGCACAAATGCTTCCCATCTGATCAAAAGCCAGCGTGGACTATTTTGGGCTTTTGGCTTTAGAGAGGATTGTTGCAGATGAGCCCAGGGAGTAATTAGCTCATGCCTGGAAGGTGACACTGGCTTGCCTGAACGTGCCAAGTTGGAAAGCTGAAGCCCCAAGCCTTGCTTTGGAACTGACCCACCTTTCTTCCCTTATTTTTAGCTCTGAACGTGTAACTCAAATGCTGATGTGACTACCTTGGAGAAAACAGACCAGGGAGAGAAATGGGCAGGGACAGATATGGCTGCTAATCAGCGCTTTCCTCCCCACCCCTGTCCAGAAGCTGTGTTTTCAGCTTTTTGATGGCCTTCCTTGCATTTCAGCGAGTCCCACCACGGTCACCCAGATGAGCTTGTCCAACCCGACCATGCTGAGGACCCACAGCCTGTCCAACGCCGATGGACAGTATGACCCCTACACGGACAGCCGCTTCCGGAATAGCTCTATGTCCCTGGATGAAAAGAGCAGGACCATGAGCCGCTCAGGCTCTTTCCGGGATGGGTTTGAAGAAGGTAAGCCGGGGTGGAGGGGGTGGGAGGAGGGGGCGGGGGTGTGTGCCAGCTCTCAGGTGACAGCTGTGATTAGCGACTCTCTCTGCAACTTCATCGTGTTGCCCTGATTTCCAACTTCATTGTATTTCCCTGATTTCCCAAAGCATTTACTCCTCTGTATGGTTGGGCCAGCCTGGGCAACTCTGAACAGTCTACCTCTCGATTAACCTTGTAGAACTATAGGGAAGAAATGCTATGGGCAGAGTAGCACTGACTGAGACCCAGACTCTGCTTCTCTCCTTGGCATTATTCTGAAACTTCTTGGCATGTGTCTCCCTAGTGCCTGGCGCCACTCAGCCTCTGGCTCCCCACCTTGGCAGAGAGAGTTACGGAGAGCTCCTTCCTCTGGGCTAACACACCTGTGTGACTTGGAGAGGCTCTGGGGGAGTCTTGCCTCTTGCACCACTTTGGAATTTTCTCTTTCTTTTCTCAAACAGTATTTTTTTTTTTTACTGCATGCTCTTAAGCGTCTTTTTTTTTTTCTTTGCTTTTTTTTTGGGGGGGGGGGAGGAGGTGTGTGGAGAACAGATAGGGTGGGGGTTTGGACAACATCGGGTGGTGCTCCCAGCTCTGGACTCAGGGATGACTCCTGGCACAGTTTGGGGATTATATGTGGTGCTGAGGATCAAACCAGGGTCAAACTCATGCAAAAAAAAGTGCATTCCACCCTGCACTATCTGTCTGGCCCCTTTGCTTGTTCATTAAATATTTTATGTTGGGTTTCTGGGTTTTGTTCATTTTACACAGAGTTTGGGGAGGAAAAATGCTTTGCCAGCCATCTTCCTAACTCAGTTCATTTCTCTTTCCTTTTGTTCCTTCAACCAAAGTGTGATTTTTCGTTTTCTTCACACCCGGCAATGCACAGGGGTTACTCCTGGCTCATGCACCAAGGAATTATTACTTCTGGCAGTGCTCGGGTGACCATATGCTGGGAATTGAACCCGGGTTGGGCGCGTGCAAGGCAAATGTCCTACCCATTGTGCTATCACTCCAGCCCCGAAAGTGTGACTTAGGTGAACAAGCAGTCACAGTTACTACGCAGGGATGTCCTCCTTGTCCCCTCCAAGTGGTTCTTAAAGATGGAGCTGGTAGTGCATTAGAGGCAGTGCTCACTGACTGATAATTAGGACTATGGAGCGAGACTCCCAGAGCCTGGGGATTCCAGCTTTTAAGTATTTGATATCGGGCACACAATTTTGCTTCTCTGTGCTTTTCTCATTTCATGATAAAATGAGAATATTGAAAGTACCCAGCTTACAGAATGATGAGAATTTAAATAAGGTAGCACTGCACTATAGCACTGCCCTCCCATTGTTCATCGATTTGCTTGAGTGGGCACCAGTAATATTAATAAATATCATCCCAGGGGCTGGAAAGAGCGTCCAGGGAGTAAGACATTTGCCTTGTCCCAAGGCTACAGGTGGTCTCCTGAGCTGCACTGAGGGTGGCCCAACCACAACCAATGACATTTAAATTATAATAGTAAAAATAAATATCAGCCCAGTGGTGTGTTATTTATTATTCCATGTCACCGCCTGTAGACATGCCCTCAGCATTGGTGTCCTGGCAGCCCAATGTCCCTAGCCACAGGACGGGGACTCTTCTAGGAAACATAGGACATAGAATAGCTGTAGTTGTACCTTTTAAAAAAAAATTTTTGCCCTCAACAGGGCAGAATGTGGGAGAGGAGCCCGAGATGCCCTGTGAGAGTGAGAAAGCGTGTCCACCATGCTGTCAGGAAAGAACAAAGCCGTGCTTGTTTAGGAAATCCCACAGCACGTAAAGAGGGAGAGAAATGCAGGAGAGAGGCTTTGGCTTTTGTTCTTTCCAGTACAAGTGGTAAAGAGTTTTCAGAGCCTCTGCCCTCTGCTTGATCTCTCTAGTGGCAACTTCTCAACCTCTCGCCACCCGGATTTAGGTATCATTTCCTGCAGTGATTCCCAGCGAGAAAACCCCAGGCTCTGAACCCATATATGGGAACCTGCCAGGCCCCAGTCTTGAGGAGGGTGGAGCCTGGGTTACTGAAGAGCTAAAAATTAGTGCCAGAACCTCTCAGAGCTTTAACCATGGGGGAAATATTGACCCTCAGGTAAAGGAGGGGGTCATTTATTCTAGGATTGTCTTGGAGCCACTGAGCTTGGCAGGGGTAACCTCAGAACTTTCCCAGCCCTCCTGGTGGTGACTCATGTATGGAGAGTGTCCTGTGCTAATTCATCTTCTGTGTCATGTGTGTACCTGAGCGAACCACATTCAGGACTAAAACTTGTCCAAACAAGCACTTTCCTGTCAAAGGCCCATGACAGCCCCCGCGTCATCCCCAAATAGCTTTTATTTATTCCCTCTAGGATCAGGCTATTGTGCAGTGTAACTGTGAGCTCTGGGGTACCAGAGTGACATTGATAGAAATTGCTTGCCTGGCTTTTCCCTCTCTGAAGCAGTATTCTGTGTGTGTATGTCTCTGTGTGTGTGTGTGTGTGTGTGTGTGTCTGTCTGTCTGTCTGTCTGTCTCTGTCTCTGTCTCTCTCTGTCTGTCTCCATCACCACCCCCCCACATTCCTATAATTAAGTTTTCTTAAATAAAACTACTTCCAAAGAAGAGACATTTCTTGCCACAAGCAGGATCTATGTTTTGTAAGCCTAATGATTCATGGGGGACTTGGAATCAAAGTATCATTGAGTTAAAAAATCAAATTAATGACCAGAGAGATAGTAGTGGGGTTAAGGCACTTGCCTTGCATGTGACTAACCCTGAATCAAATCTCTCACACAGCATATGGTCTCTTGAGCAGCATCAGGAGTGAACCCCCCTGAGCATAGAGACAGGAATAAGCTGAGCACAGCCAGGTGTGGTCCTAATAAACAAAAAAAAATCATATTTCAGGGAAAGAGTCATAATTGCTGTCAGTGTGCTATAAATATCCTTTTTATCTTTGGGGAAATTGGGCCTCAGATCATTTTCCCCCCCCCCAGATCATTTTTATTTCTTCCAAGCCTATTAAATTACCCGCAGACACAAGAGTTGGGGCTTGCATAGTTATTTGTGTTTTTAATTCCAGTGAGTAGAGCTTAATTTTTTTCTTTTGAATTCATAAAATCCCTGTGTTACAGAAATAATTAGGAGGAGGGCAAGAGTGGGGAATCACATTTCATGTTTGGACCAAATAGAACCTCTTTATTGAAGCCAATTAGGTTTATTATATATCAAGAAAAAGAAAAAGCATAGAAATTCAGGGAGAATTAGCGCTACTGCTTATGTGAGGTTTTGTGGGATTTAATTAGCACTTTCCATTCTGAAGGAAGTGGGAATCATAAATATGTAGATTAAGTACAGGCCTGGCCCAGATGCAACCTTTCAAAGTTATTTCAGGTAAATTAATTTCCATTGGTGGCATTATGCAATCCCAGAGCCAACTTTAATAGCATACTTTTATGGAGAGGCTTGAGGCATTTTTAAAATGAACGTCTTTGGAGGAAAAGCCGCCCTGTGACTTTAGCAATCATCCTTAAGAACACTAGTACGATGTCACTCAGCAGTTGCAGACTCAAGCAAAGCTAAACAGCTCTCGGTGAAGAAATCTTGATTTGCTTTTGCACTGCCAGCTTCTTAGCGTTGCTGTCCAAACCCTGGCGCCTCCTTCGGTGGTAACCATGTGATTCTGAAGAAGGAACTTAGTCCAGCTCAGTTCACTAAAATGTAGGAATGTCAGTTGTGTCTGCTTCGAGGGATTGAAATGTTTAAGTGAGATAAGTCACAGAACGCATTTAGCAAACTGATTTTGAAAGGGGGGCTAACATAGTAGATAGTCAGGGGTTGCTATTATTGTCATTGTCGAGTCTTCCTTTCTCCTTCTCCCCAAAGACTGTTTCTCTCATTCTCTGTCTCTGTCCCTACCTCTGTCTCTTTGTTTCTCTCTCTCTGTTTCTCTCTCTCTCTCTGTCTCTGTCTCTCTCTCTCTTTCTCTCTCTCTCTCTCTCTCTCTCTCTCTCTCTCTCACACACACACACACACAGTGTTTGTGGAAAAGAAATTACTTGAGGGGCAGGAGCAATGTACAGAGAGTAGAACACTTGCCTTGCACACCGCCAATGCAGGTTCGATTCCCAGCATCCCATATGGTCCTCTGAGCACCAGGAGCCATTCCTAAGTGCAGAGCCAGGAGTATGCTCTGAGCATTGCCACATGTGGCCTCAAAACAACAGCAATGAAACAAGGAAACTACTTGAGAACATTTATGTGGCCAGGGCTTGGTGTTAAACACTTGGTTCTCTACCTCTGTGAGGGTTCGTGCTCCATTCCACCTTGGCCTTTGTCCGTACCCTGTCCAAAGCTGGGCTTTCTTGCCGGTAAATAGTAGACTCTGGCCCCCATCAGGGTCTTTTGCTTCTCTGCTTGAGAAGACACTGTTTCAGCCAGCAGAACTGTATCTTGGCCAGGAGATAGTACAGTGGTTCAAGTGCTGCCACTGTGGGGAATAGCCGAGGTGGTCCCCAAGCACTGCCAGTGTGGCCCGGGTAATTCAGGCTACCCACGCACCGCAGGAACTGAGCAGCATCAGATCCTTGGATCTTTTCATTAAACTGCCAGCCCAATTGGTCAAGAATCAAGTTAGGGCCCCTGGGGCCTCCTGAGTACTGTGTGGGGGAGGGGAGTGTTGGGTCGCATCCCCCAACCCCACCCCCAATAAAACAAAAAACTGCACCTCATTCTCCCTTGCTCTTTCTTTGAGACCTGACCCAGAGTGGAGTGAGGACTAGAGTGCCTCAATTTACCTCCTATACATCCTGGTCCTCCATCTCTGTGTGACCCCAGGCAGGTCCTTTCGCCACTCTGGGCTTCTGATTACCCAAAGGTGCAGCTGGCCTTTCAGCTTTCCATTTGGCAGGTGCGGAGGGGAAGGCGCCTGACCTGTTCCTACTCTCCGGATGCATTTCCTTGTGTCACCAGGCACTGACTTAACTCCCTTCACGTGCAGTTTCAGGGGCTCTTCCTTTGGACAATGGCCTGACTGTGGTAATTTGCCAAGTAAGAGGCATTGAGTGGCAGAGAGGAAGAAAGCTTTCCCGATATGCTCTTCTCCGTCCGTGAGATGGAGAAACAGGACATTAATATTTGCACCGTCTTGTATCCAAAGTCCTGCTTAGTATTGTGAGGTTGAAAGGTGTGAGTGAAGGGTGGCGACCAGTGACCCACATTTTGGCCTCCAATACACTTGCCTCAGTTCTCTGTGTTGTGGGGCTGAAGCAGTTCATCCCTTTGGAATATCAGAACACCGGTTGGGGCAGGAGAAGCATCTGTAATGTGTGGAAATATTAACATTGCAAACCATTAGAGGCCATCATCTGCTGAAACTGATTTTTGGGGGAAACGGGGAGGAGAGTTAGGCCACACCCCGTGGTGCTCAGGGCTTACTCCAGGCTCTGCACTCAGGGATCACTCCTGGTGGGCTCAGGAGACCATATGAAGTGTTGGGAGTTGAACCCAGGTTGGCTGCATGCATGGCAAGTGCCCTACCCACTGTACTATCATTTTAACCCCTGAAACTAATTTTTTTGTGAGCTATGGAGAGGGAAGACTGAGCAATTTGAGCATTGCCAAGGAAGGGGGGGGTGGGGCTGATGGCAAAGGGTCAATGGCCACAGGCCCCTGCTATGAGAGAGGCCCCACCAAGAGGTATGTGGGTTTGAGAAAGAGAGGAAGCCCACCCAGGCAGCTGCCAGGGAATTGCAGACAGGCTCCAGGGAGAAGGTGGGTTGCAGGGTTTTCCCTGCTGAACGGGCAGACACGAGAAGCTTCCTTCACAAAGGGAACTGCCTGGCTAGGGGCACTTAGGCAGGAATGTCCCATCCAGGGCATGCGTAGGAGCTCAGAGTGGGGTGCAGAGTGGGATAGAATCTCGAGGGCAGGGTGGGAGGTTGGAGAACTTTCTCGGAAAGATGGGATGGGAGGCCCCTGAGCAGCCAGTATTGATGCTGCTGGGCAGGGAGCTGCTGCCAACTGCTGATCTAGGTTGAGTTCGCTTCTTGGGTGGTAAGCGAAAGGCATGTAGGATGCATGGAAAGTTCCTCCTTACCCGGCCTCCCACTCCTGGGCCAGAGGTGATAGCACGGTGCGGGTAGGGACATTCCACCCGTGGTCAGGAAAGCTGTGACCAATTAAAAGATCTGTGATGTCTCAACAGGAAGATTCCTGCCTTTCACTCAAGTTGTTGAGAAATTACCAAGAAAATTAAAGAGTCTTGTTTCCAGAAAGAAAAATCAGCTAGAATACCTAGTCCTACCAATGACCATGCTTTAGAATTATGTGAGCAGAAAGAATAAAGCAACCCCAGTGGAGTTCTGGAGGGATAGTATGGGGGAGGATAAAGTGCTTGCCCCTGTGCAATCCCTGCCACCACGTAGGGTTGTCTGTACCGCCAGGAAGATCCCTGAGTACAGAACCTGGAGTGAGACTTGCATATCACCTCAGTACTCAAAACTTAAAAGTTTCCAGTGGACTGATACCCAAGGACAGTAGAAATGAGGGCCAGGAGGACTGCTTCATGGTTGGAAGCTTGCCACAATTTGGGGGGTTTGGGGGGTGGGGTGGGGACATTTAGGACAGAGAAGAGAGAAAACACCACTATGACAATGATATTTGGAAATGATCACCCTGGAGAAGAGCTGAGTGCTGAAAGGAGGTAAAGGGATACGTGATACAGAGAGAGAGAGAGAGAGAGAGAGAGAGAGAGGAGATAGGTGGGAAATATACACTGGTAAAGGGATGAGTGTTGGAACTTTGTGTGACAGAAAGCCAATCATGAACAACTCTTTGTGACTATATATCTCAGGCTGATTCAATAAATAAATAAACTGCAAAAGATAAAAATCTCCTGGCTGAGAGCAGGAGAGACTCCAATGGTTCTCACCCGGAAGGGATAGTATGGGGGGATAGTATGGGGGGATACCTATCAGAGAGAAACAGGGAAGGGAGCCTCACCCTGCCCCCTTGTCACTTGGCAGACGTAATAGCAATCAAATAAAGAGTCTGTATTTCCACCCATATTTTCTAGACCTTTCTAGACCTTTCCAAAGCTTTGAGCCCTTGATCATCATCTTTGGGTTGACTGCCCCACAACTACCTGGGTTCAGAATGATAAGCTCAGCTTTTTGCAGAGACAAATGACAACTACTCACAGAGTAAGCTGGAGAGATACAACAGCCATCTGGGGTGGGGTTGGGGAGGGGGTTCTATCAGCAGCAATGGAATAAAATATGACCTACTGCCTGGAGGTCATAGAATGACAAGTCCTGTGGGTTGTGTCAGTAAAAATGCTTCTTAACACTTAGCACTAGAAGATTTTCATCCATTAAATCATGTGTTACTATGATGGTGCGGAAGGGGGAGCAAAAATGGGTGTGGGGGGTAGAAGGGTAGGCAGAGCAGAAGTACAGCAGGTAGAGTGTTTGCTTTGCACTTGGCTGGGTGTGATACCTGAATGCAGAGCCAGGAGTAAGCCCTAAGCACCGCCAGATGTGGCCTCAAAACCAAAAGGAAGAAAGACAGAAAATTAACTCCTCATGCAAATGATCTCACTCGCTGACCTATGTCAGGAAAGGTTGATCAACATGGCGTACAGTTGCTCCCAGTCTGGTAGGACTCTGTCGTGCTGAATTTCTCCTTCCCTATCCTCTCTTTTCTCTCCATTGCATGAAGCTATGTAGTTTATCCATTTTTTTTTATCTTTTTAAACAGTTCATGGATCCTCCCTTTCCCTGGTTTCGAGCACATCATCAATTTATTCTACAGTGAGTACAAATCAATGTTTTATGGCTATGATCATGAAAGGTGGGGTTTTTGCAAGAGTGGTAGGAATAAAGTAGACGCGATTCTCCTAGAAAGAGAGTTATTCCATTCTGAGGGGATCAGTTCCTTAGAGAATAGGACTTGAAATTCACAGACAGCTAGTGATGATAGTCCACTTCAGACAATTGCACTCTGTGGCCTTTGATTGATGTCCAGGTGTCAGATTTGAGACACCTCAGCTGCCTGCAGGTAGACTTGGAAAATAAAGGCCTTGGGGGCTGTAGCAATAGTCCAATGGGTAGGGCATTCGCCTTGCACTTGGCTGACCTGGATTCAATCCCCAGTATTTCCTAAGATCCTCTGAGCACCGCCAGGAGTAATTCTTAAGTGCAGAGCCAGAAGTAACCCCTGAGCATCTATGGGTGTGACCCAAAAAGCCAAAGAAAAAAAAGAAAGAAAGGCTTTGGACAAGTTACTAGCCTTCTGCCTGCCTCAGTTTCTTTGTAAAGTAGGAAAAATAGAATCCTGCCCCTTGTAGAGTTGAATAGGGACCAAATGTTGTCAAGATTACATTGTACTGCAAGTTTAAAGTGTCCTAAGGAAAGGGGCCCTTATTTTTCTTTCTAAGGCCAGAGAACAGGATCTGGCACATAGTAGATGTCTCAAAAACACGTTTGACAGAAGAGGGATGCCTGTGTGAAACATTGACTCCTGATACCCCTCAGAGAGGCAGCATTCATAAATGTTAGCTATCATCAGTATGAGGTTTCCTGAAGAAAATCCAAATGACATGCCCAGGTCCTTCTGCAGAGGTTGAGTTGCATGTAGCCATAGATTACAAAGTTTTGACTTGGAAATTCCTATAAAAATGATCAATAATCAGAAATGCTTTGGCCCGTCATTCTCTGGGAGGGAAGATGGTATGCTAGTTCTATTGTAGGTAATTTCAGGTTTCTGGATGAGTAGCAGGACAGACTGACTAGAGCCACCTGTAAGAAAAATGCTGTTACAGGGGTGGGGAGAAGGCCAAAAATGCTGGAGTGTTTGCTTCACATGTGGGAGCCCCACATTTGATTCGGGTACCACATGGTCCCCTAAGCATGGCCAGGAGTTGCCCACCCAATGTAAACTTCCAATCTACCCCCCCCAAAAAAAAAACATGCCCTCCTCGAAGGAGATAGAGACTGTAGTATAACTTCTTTCCGTGACCTGCAGTAATAGTCTTCACTGACGGCTGACATTGTTTTTAAGGACTTAGAATCCTCATTGGCTGCTCCCAACCCACTCCAACTTCTACTCCAAATGACTCCTGTCCTCAGCTGGTCATCTTGTGTGACATTTCATCACAGAGTTCCTGGCTTCATTTCAAGGAATTTGTATTTTGTAAACTTGCAGATGGATATTCTTTTCCTTTTTGACCATTATCCAGGAAAACATAAGGATGGCCTTCCCGCCGTCAGCCAGTAGAGAAGCTCAGATCTTCTGATATGTGTGCCAGGGATGGTACATTCAATCCTAGAGCAGATTTTCTTTGCAGTATCTACTGCCAAGCAAATATACGAGGGCCTGGGCTCAGGTGTGGAGACATGTATGTGATTTGGGTAGAGAGAGGGTGCTGCTGAAAGAAGAGTAAGCCTGAGGCCCCATCCGACTCTGAGGTGCCATTTTACTAGGACACTGTCGGCAGCCAGAGAGGGCATTGCAATGTCTGAGTCGCCATTTTCCAGGGAGTCCCCCAGGTTTCCGGTCAGAGTAAATAGGTCCTTCTCACAATACTGAGGTAGGCCTGCATCTGCCAGCTTTAGCAGGATAGGGCATCAGCATCTCCACCTCCCGCAGAACTCAGAGGTAGGAAAGAGTCAAGAGAAACTCCCAGTTGCAGCCTGGAAGTCCTGGCAGAAGCAGGATAGGGCATGAGCATCTCCACCTCCCACAGAACTCAGAGGTAGGAAAGAGTCAAGAGAAACTCCCAGCTGCAGCCTGGAAGTCCTGGCAGACAAAGGTCTTTCTTCTCAAATACTCTAGCTCTCTGTGTATGGACATCAAGATTTTGTGAAATATAAAATTTTCCTTTCCGAGTTGATAGAAATGCACCAATTAACAGACTGGAAACATGTTTAATTCCATGTACATCTGGATAGCAAGAGAATTATGATGTCAGATGCATTCTTTCTCACTGCCTGGCAAATTCAACTCAGAGCCACCTTATACTAGGTGTCACTGCTCTCGGTTATGGGAACAAGGCCTGGTGATCTGAGGCTCCTACAAAGCTCTGGGGCCGGATTGCCTTGGCTCCAATTCCAGCTCACCACTTACCAGCTATGGTCATGGGTACATACTTGACCTCAGTACCCTTTATCTGGAATATTGATGGCAGTGGTACTCATACCCACTAAAGGTTTCTGTGTGGACTCAGTGTATAATGCATGCTAAGGGTGCTGAATCTGTCACTGATGCATGGCAGACTCTCACTGAGCACCAGTTACCACTACCACGATGTATGCAACATTGGGCAGAGAATCCTGTTCACAGATGTTTCCAGATTCTTAGAACAAGCCTGGCACATAAAAGAAAATCAATGAAAACTGATAGGCGTTTGGAGGGGTGGAAGAGTGGGTCCCAAGGAGACATCTCCCAACTTGCTCCCCAGAGTACTTCTTAGGTGAGACTGCCCAGTTCAATGGCCTTGCCAAGATCACTAACTTCTCTGAGTCTCAGAAGAGGTATAAGCAAACGTACCTTCACGTGTGTCTGCAAGGATTAGATGAGCTGGCCCAGTGTACCTGGAACTTCATTTCTGCTGCAGAGAGGACCCGCTTAGGCAGTGGGGAGCTAATCAGTATGTGAAGTGAGAGCAGAGAAGTGTCTACCCTTGACAGGTGCCGCACCCTCAGCATCTAATGAACGCTATCCCTCTGCATTCTGAAGTTATGGAGAAGTAGAAAAACCAGGTTCTGGTTGTTTTTTTTAAATGATAGTAAAATTACTAGTAAAGTTGGCTCACACGCAGCCTGGATGCAAGGAGAAAATAGGGCGCTTAGCTGATTATCACTCAGTTCTTGACTTGTGAGTCACTGTTTTGCCCTAGGGAAGTGCTCCTGGTAAGGTGGGCAGGAAGGAACAGGAAGGAACTTCTTCCAACATTTCCAAGAATGCAGGAGGGGCTTCATCTTTCATGGGCCCCTGGGGGAACCTGAGGAAAGGTGAAACCTGTAGGAGGAGCGAGGTAGTCTTGGGCAGATGGTTAGCCGTGTTACTGCAGATTCGGCCCAACATGGAAGGCTCTGTGAGCAAGAGGTGCCATGGCTTTGCCCATTCTCCCCAGGGTCACAGGTAACCAGGACCCTCAGGGTGGGGCAGCAAGAAGTGGAGGTGACATACACCCTCAGTGCTAAAGGAGTCTGGTGGATAGGGGGGATTCCAGCCCCTCCTTTCAGGCTCTGGTGCTGTTTCTGCAACAGAATCCTAAGGAAAGAGAAGGGAGAGGGAAAGGGGACAGAATTAACCTCTGTGCTTTCCTCCTGTCCACAGGACTAGCACATAAAATACTGATCCTCAGCTACATTAGAATTCCAAGGACTAATGAACGGTTTTCTAGTATGTCCCTGGTATTTTGTGGGATGTACTTTACCCAAAACTAAAAAGAATCAGAGTAAACTAGCCTATTAAGGTTTTGTTTTGTTTTGATGCTCAGGGGTTACTCCTGGCTCTGCACTAAGGAATTACTACTGGCTAGCTTGGGGGACCTTATGGGATGCTGGGAATTGAACCTGGGTCAGCCAAGTGCAAAGCAAGTGCCCTACCTGCTAGACTATCTCTCCAGCCCAGCCCCTGTATTTTTTATTTGCTGTGCCTAGCCACCCAGGCCTGGCTCACCCTCTCATCCTGAGACAACCCCCCCACCTGCAACTGCCCTACCCTCCAGAGCCCCATCTTCACAGGGCCTTTGCACAACCCACAGAGTTGAAATGTTTCTCTAATTCTTTATAATTTCCTAAAACTAAAAGCTTTTTGTGTTTTGTTTTTCTGATTGGTCACATGAACTGAGGCCATTTAATCAGAGAAACGAATCTCCAAGTGATGGTGTTCCCTGAAGGTGAACTGGACTGTCTTTTAGGGTGTAACTGGTCTGATTTTCCTTATGTTCTGCAACTGGTCTGATTTCCGTATGTTTTCTTCACAGCCGGAAGAAAAGTGCCAGTCTGAGGTAAGGGAACATCTGCTGGTTGGATTTCTTCCCCCAGGCTTCTCAGTGATTTTTGCCCAGCTCAGTCTGGACACAGACTCTGAAAACCAATAACTGTCCTCACTTATCTTTAGATTCGCAAGCTACGGCGGGAGCTGGACGCCTCCCAGGAGAAGGTCTCTGCCCTGACCACTCAACTGACCGCAAATGTGAGTGCAGACCCTGGGCAGCAGCCCCCAGAGCGGCTGGTTCCACAGTGCCTCTGAGCTTCAGTGCAGGGCTGCGTGTCCCCAGAGCACCAGTGGGTTGAAGGGCTCACTTTAGAACCACTGAGTGAATATTGGTGCCCACACTCCCTAACACTGCTCTGGGCAAATCCTTTAACCTATCAAGGCTAGAGCTGGTGGAGAGATAATACAGCGAGTAAGCAGGTAAGATTTTTTCCTTGCACACTGCCAACCTTGGTTTGATTCCCAGCATCCCATAGGAGTCATTACCACTGAGCATCTCTGGGTGTGGTCCCCCAAAGAAACAAACAAACAAACCTACCAAGACTGGATTTGCTCGCTATTATTTGACATTGGGCTCATTCAGAATGGTATGGGCTGGAGTGATAGCACAGCGGTAAGGCATTTGCCTTGCGCACAGCCAGCCCGGCCGAGCCGGGTTCAATTCCTCCGCCCCTCTTGGAGAGCCCGGCAAGCTACTGAGAGTATCTCGCCCACACGGCAAAGCCTGGCAAGCTACCCGCAACATATTCAATGTGCCAAACACAGTAACAAGTCTCAAAATGGAGATGTTACTGGGCCTGCTTGAGCAAATCGATGAACAACGGGAGGATAGTGTTTGTTTGACAATTTGACATTAACTTTGGGGAAGGATATACTGCCTACCTCCCATGATCAATACCTGATCATATATTAAAAGCTGGGTAAAGTGTTCATTTCCCTTCCTTTTTTTTAATTTAGATTTTTATTAGTGAAACACCGTGAGGTACATTTGTAGATTTACAATTTTTTGTGCTTGGGTTTCAGTTATACAATGATCGAATGCCCATCCCTCCACCAGTGCCCATTCTCCACCACTGATCCCAGTATCCCTACCATCCCTTGTTCCCCCTATCCCACCCTGCCTCTGTGGCAGAACATTCCCCCTTGTTCTCTCTTTCCTTTTGGGTGCTGTGGTTTGCAAAAGAGGCTCCCTCCCAGGATGGGAGATGTATGCTGAGAGTAGACTCTAGTCCTTTCCTTTTTTTTAAAAAAGAATTTATTCATTTATTATTATTATTATTTTTTTGGTGGGGGTGGGAGGGTGGCTACATCTGGCATGCTCAGGGGCTACTCCTAGCTCTACACTCAGACATCAATCCTGTTGGGCTCGGGACACCCTATGGGATGTCAGGGAGCAAACCCAGGTGAGCTGCATGCAAGGCAAGTGCTCTATAAGCTGTACTATCCTCTGGTTCCCTCCCTTTCTTTTTTTTAAAAAATGTTTGTCTTTGGGCGGGTGGTGTGGGGAGTAAGTGGAAGACCCGACAATACACTGCAGGCTGTTCTGTAATTATAATACACACCATGACTGTTCCGGCGCCACCGCCAAGCATCATTCAATTCAGCAACTGTTTCTGTGCCAGCTGTGCCCCGGGCACTGTGGGTTCCACTGCAAAGCAAGCAGAGTCAGCGTCAACTTCCCGTTCATCTCCGGTATCAAAGAGAGACAAAACTGTCCTGCCGCAACCCAGTAGCTTGCACTGGTGACAGAGGCTGTGGGAGTGTAGAGCGGGAGTCCCTCAGTCAGCTATTGTTGGCTCAGGGGAAGCCAGGAAAAGCATCCGGGAGCAGGTGACATCTGACAGAGGGGAGGACAGTGTCCTAACCAAGGGGCTAATTTATGCAAAAACCCAAGGTGAAGATCTGGGTACATTTGAAAGCTTTAAATAGCTCAGTGACTTTAGTATCTGGGGCATGGGGGCTGGAGGTAGGGCATTTGCCTTGCACGCAGCCAAGCCGGGTTCCATTCCCAGCATCCCATATGGTCCCCCGAGCACTGCAAGGAGTAATTCCTGAGTGCAGATCCAGGAGTAACCCCTGAGAATCGCCAGGTGCGACCCAAAAAGCAAAAAATAAATAAATAGAATCTGGGGTTTGGATGTGAGGGAGAACGGGGCTGGACAAAGGAAGGACATGGGGTGTCAAGAGGCATTGAAGAAAGATGGGGGCCAGGTCCCACCGCCCAGGGTGTCAGCTGGAAGGGGAGAGTACAGGGGCTTCCCGGGAAATCGGTAAAGCCTCCCAGTGAGTGTAGAGCAGAGCGGGGGCTAAGAAGGGTCTCAGCTGCCTGTGAGGAGGCTCCTTCATGTATGCTGGAGGATTTGAGGACTCAGAGCAGAGGCAGGGCTGTCACCCCAGTTGTCTACCCCAGAAAAGGGGGTCTAGGCCGAGCAGGGAACTGCAGGGATTCAGGGCTGTGCTGCAGAAGGTAGATAGCTTGAGGTTTCTGGGAAGTACAGAGGTGCCTCTGAGCCCAAGCTTTTCTGCATCTCAGTCAGAGGCCCTGGAATGTGTGTGAGCACGAGGCTTGCAGAGACCCACCCGTACTGCCCTCTGTCTACCTTTAAGTGAAAGTAGTTTCAAGAGGTTGTCTTCCTTGGACCAGAAATGAATCGTTTACGTGGTATTTTTTGCTCAGGCTTGAGTCCGATTCTGCTCTAGAATGTCATTGTTCTTGAAAGTCTGCCTAGCTCAGTGCCAGACGTGAGTTACAAGCTCAATAGTTGGAACCTGCTATCACTATTATTCTTTCCCCAGAGCGCCTCACATTTCTGCAAAGAGACAAGTTTTTTGTTGTTGTTTTTCCCCCCTTCCAAAGCCCTCGCATACTAAGCTACTGTGTGTTTTGCAATGCTTATTTATTTTCTTAACCTCTCCCACCATCATTAACTATCACAAGAACCTCAGACATTGCGGTGAGGCCTGAATGTTGAGCCTGGGACCCTTTTAGATAAACAGTATTCTGTGGAGAGAGTGTTCGTGTTGGCAACCAGATCTGTACATTGGAATCCAGAACCCAGCCAGGCCTGATGATCTCTGGTCTCCTGGATCTCAGCCTAATAGATGCATGTTAGCAAACTCCCTCCATGTGACTTGGAGCTTCTCTTCTTGTCAAGAATTACAGCTGTGGGGCTAGAGCAATAGCACAGCGGGTAGGGCATTTGCCTTGCATGCAGCCAACCCAGGTTCGATTCCCAGCATCCCATATGGTCCCCCAAGCACTGCCAGGAGTAGTTCCTGAGTGCATGAGCCAGGAGTAACCCCAGGGCACCGCTGTGTGTGACCAAAAAGCAAAAAAAAAAATAAATAAATAAATAAATAAAGCTGTTCATCGCTACCTCATATTAATCAAGAAGTAACATTTAATTTACTTATTCATGAACCTACGTTAATGCATCCAGGAACACAATAAGAGACCTTGCATTTGGACCTTTTGGAACTCTTTGTTCCAGAAGAGTGAGAGTGAGATCCCTTACATTATTATTATTCCAGAAGGTTGTTTTTACTCCTCACAAAAGCCATTGGATTCAGTGTTGTTTTAAAGCAAATATTTAGTCTTACCACACACACCACCAGCAGTGCTAACATTTTTTTTTAAATTGTCTGCTGTCTTTCTCACAGGCCAAGCTGTGTTTGTTTTTCTAGGGCAAACTACTCACAGCCACCTTCTCTGGGTGTTTTTCTACCACTCATGTTTGTTTTCCCTGGGAATGTGAGGAGAAGGCTGTTGTGTGGATCTAAACTACGCTCTACATGGCCAGGGCCTGTATTCCTTTAACTGCACTTATGACCCAGATCCAGTTCTTCCCTAGCCAGCCAAACGCGATCCTCCCTTCTTCAGAGCAAATGCGGTTTCTTCTTTGACTTTCAAAAACACTTTCTCAACAGCAGCCTTTGTGGGGTCAGAGCTTTGTTTTTGTGTGTAATTGAATAGAAAATATGAATCCCCACAAATATGGGGAGCGCTCAAATGAATTGGTGAAATAAATGCAAGTTCTATCATTTAAATGTTGCTGTTTCTTTGAAATGCATGTCGAGCGTGTTCTTCTCACCTCCCGTGCCCTGGCCCACTCCCTCTGTCCACTGTGAGGCTTTGGTTTTACAACATTCTCCAGGGCAAATCAAGCCCCTATCTCTTTACTAGAAAATGCAAGGCATTCTCTTCACTTTTGGCAGAGAGAGGGCATGCAATCAGAAAGAAACTAGACAGTCCAACACTTCTATTATAAGTGCTGTATTACTCTCAGTTCCTCGCCATTTCTTAGTGCTGTTAGAGGGGAAGAGAAAAATCCTATAGACGTCTTATCCTCAGAACTCTCCCTTGTGTGATGAAGATGGTTACAAAGGCGTCAGACTCCTCAGATCTCTCCTTTAGTTGAAATGGCCACTGTCACTCCTCTTTGCCCAAGATGACAACTCTGACCCCCCAGCCCCCACTTTTCTGCACTATGCCCATCAGTCAGCTCCTGCAGAAACTGGCAGCATGATAAGATCTCACTTCTCCCGAGACTCAACTTTCCTCTGTGGGCCCTTTGCTTTCCTCCTTGGATACCTCTGTTACAGTCCTCTGGTCAGGGGTTACTCCTGGCTCTGCACTCAAGAATCAGTCCTGGCAGTTCTTGGGGGATCTTATAGGACACCAGGGATCAAACATGGGTCACCTGCATGCAGGGCGAATGCTTTACCCACTGTACTATTGTTCCACCCTCCAGACCCCCATTCTTGGTTGGTTTTAACAATATTTATCAGGAGCCTCCATGAGTGGAGGCCATTTTTTACCTCCTATTCTGTTTCCCAGGACTTAATTTAAGGACACAGAAGTTGTTTCCTGTTCCTACAAAAGGTCCCTGAGAAGGAGGCAGAAGGAGAGCGGCATATTCTCTATGCCCGTTGCCTCTGTGATACATCTTTTTGTCCCACATTTTTAATATCTCTGAACACTAGGTGCCAACGTCAGTTATAATTGGCAACATCTTTAAAATATAAAATAATGGTGCTTGTGATACCTGAAAGAAGTATATCAAAGTCCTGGGAAGAAGTCAGAACTCCCCAGGGAAGCCAAGGCAGCTGACCGATGGGCCTTTCAGTTGCTTTTTATTAACCAGGATTGTAACAGGCTAAAATTATGCCAACAACTTTGTTCATTCACCCTCAGACATGCTCAGTAGGAGTCTCTCCTATGAGCCTGGGGAACCAGAGGTCATCCTGCAGTGAAATAGGGGAGAGAGAAATCATCCTTCACAAGATTATATACATGTGTTGTAGGCTGATGTCACTAAGCACAGACAGCAGACCAGCATGCTCTGAAGATGACCCTGGAGGAACCAACCCAGTCTGGAGACGGGGGTCACACAGACAGATCTTTTGGGGGTTTTTTGTTTGTTTGTTGCTTTTTGGGTCACACCCGGCAATGCACAGGGGTTATTCCTGACTCACGCACTCAAGAATTACTCCTGGCGGCGGTGCTCAGGAGACCATATGGGATGCTGGGAATTGAACCTGGGTCAGCCACATGCAAGGCAAACACCTTACTCGCTGTGCTATCACTCCAGCCCCAGATAGATCTTTTGAAAAGAAACTTTACAATGTGGGCATTTGGGCACTGGGAAGAGGACTTTGAGGTGGGGGCGAAAGTGAGCAGAAAGACCCTAGATTGAGAGATACACAGGGTGTTTGAGGACAAGAAATTCTAGAGTAATGGGCTCCAGAGAGTGAGGTGAGGAGAGGTTTGTGAGACTGAAGAACTCGAGAGGGTCCCTAGCCCCTGGAGCATCTCCCGGGAGGCCCTCAAGCCTTGCAGGTCCTACCACTGAGACTGTCTCCCCGTTCCAGGCACATCTTGTGGCAGCTTTCGAACAGAGCCTAGGAAACATGACCATCAGGCTGCAGAGTCTGACCATGACGGCCGAGCAGAAGGTAAGCAGAAATGACGCGTTTTCCTTCAGATGTAGATTCAGCAAGCCAGAAAATAGACATCTTGTCTTCTCCTATACATATTCATTGCAGAGATTTCAGTGTACTTTCTGGGCAGTTAAAATTGGTCAGAAGGAGTCGGTCTAATGAGGGAAAACAGGACTAAGCGCTAGTGGTCTCTGACCTCCTGGTCCCCTTCCAGTGCTTTGATGCGCCAGGGGAAAACTAGCCCAGCTTCATGTTTTAGACACGGGTTTTGTGGAATGCCTGCCTGTCTGTCCCACCCCACGTTTGAAGCCAAGTTGCACTTCAATTGAACTCTGTACAGGAACATTTTCAGATGATTGGAATATATATATATATTTTCTGGTTCCTCAGGATTCGGAGCTGAATGAGTTAAGGAAAACCATTGAGCTGCTGAAGAAACAGAACGCAGCTGCTCAGGCTGCTATTAATGGAGTGATTAACACCCCAGAACTCAACTGCAAAGGTAAAGGCAGAGAAACAGCTTCCAGTCCAAGGCCGGGCCTGCCCTGAGGAACTTTTCCCTGGCAGCACAGGATGTAGCCTTTCTCCCAGTCAGAGGGCGGAGGCCCGAGTCAGTTGGATGGGTCCTGGAAGAGAAACAGTCCTAATGCAGTTACTCCTGGCTTCCTGGAGGATAGCTGTTCCAGCTCGTCCTCCTCTCTGACATATCTCAACAGTGAAAGAAAATACATTCTGGTGGGAAAGTGTTTCATGGCTCCTAATTTTACTAACACTTAAAAAAAAAAGAAAGAAAGAAAACATACCTATTGATGTGATATAGACTGAAATGTATTCATCTCTTATGTATCCAGAAAAATATTTAAGTAAATTTGCTTGGTCTTTGTATATCTTACTTGGGGGCAGGAAAATTGAGCATGAAGATCAAGACTCTCCTGCAATACTACTATCAGTGGTAATCATAGAAGCAGTGGTGATGGTTGACATTTATAGAGTACTTACTGTCTCAGCACAAGGCTAAGTGCTTTTAATTAGTCAACTCCTTTCCTTTCCCTGACCACCTTCTGAGGATAATATTGGTTCTCTCTGAATTGTACTGATAAGAACACTTGCATGCCAGAGGTGAGGTCATGCCCTGGCCTCTCAGAGTAGTAAGAAAGATAAGGGGGCCTAGAACCCTCGTCTGTCCAACTCTGATGCTCTTAAAATCGAGACTGTAGACACATAGTGCCGTGTCCATGAGAAAATTCTCTGCCCGCTTTATCTCAGTCTCACTGCCATCGCAAGCCATGCTACTTCTGGCAGTAACTGTGGTAGCGGAGAACAGACCTCCTGAAAAAACTGCAATAAAGTTGAAATGGGGAGGATTAGCAAGCACTGGCTTGGCAGAGTGGAGGGCAAAGAGCTTTCCTGGGTGAGAAAATGGCATATCTCAGAGCCCCAAGACGAGGTGGGCGAGGCGTTTCCAGGGGATGGAGAGGAGCTACACTGGTGAGGGAGGGGGCTGACAACCTAGGTGACTCCTGCTGCAGATCAAAACCACATTTGAGAGTCTCGGTAAGGCTTGAGAGAGCTGGTGCTGGGGCTGCCCTGACTCCTGTTCTGCAAAACAGAAAGAGCATGTCTTCATTTCTTTAACTCAAGAAGACACTGTCCCTACCTACCTACCCAACCAAGGACCATAAAAACCACCAGGGAACAGAACGGCGTGGCTAATGGGAAGTTCCTGGTAGCCGTGGATGTGCAAATTTAGATGCAATGGTTCTTTCTGGGGACAGAGACATGGGCTCAGGTACAGCGGCTCATCTCCTGCCTTGGCTTCCCAGGCAACGGCCCCTCACAGTCGGCTGACCTCCGCATCCGCAGGCAGCACTCCTCTGATAGCGTCTCCAGCATCAACAGTGCCACCAGCCATTCCAGCGTGGGTAGCAACATAGAGAGCGACTCCAAGAAGAAGAAGAGAAAGAACTGGGTGAGCATACGCCGCAAGATTCCTGGGGACTAATTAGCAGTTTCAGCTCTCACAGGGACAAAAAAAATGTCTCTCCATCTGCCCTCCCCTCCCAGGTCAAGTGCAGGCTACCTCTTCCCTTCCAGGCATAGGCCTTGGGGAGTGAACCCAAAGAAAAATTTTGTAGATAGGTTTCTTCCCAGCCCAGGGTGGTGCTCAGCCAAACACCTAGGACTGATGAAATTACAACCCCCCTGAAGTTTCCCCATTTCATGAGACGCCATGTCAATGTTCACCTTTCATCTCTGTGTCGTTTCTTCCTCATTTGTCGACCACAAAGTTCCAGGTACTAGAGCAAAGTTACTCTGAAGTGGTTTCTTCTTAATTCCACAATATTTGGGGGGGGGGGGGGAAGGGAGTGTATATTACTGGTTCATCAGTTTTAATCCCTGTCTATATTAGCACAGTTGCCTATGGCAGCAGTAAGCTAAGCTTCTCTAAAGAAGTCTTCACCGTGACCTATAAGTAAATGTTTCATAATATAGATGTCTCCAGTCTGCAAGTGGTTCTAAGCCAAGATAGAGGTTACACCTCCCAGTGGCAATTTTCCCTGGCAGGGGAATACTTTGTGTTTCCATCCATCCCAGTGAGCTGTCAGACAGCCTTTCCCTGGGATCTTGAGCTGTTTTTTTTTCCTCTCAGAAGATCCCACTCCCTCCCCTTTTCATTTTAGTTCCACTGTCCCGTGATTGACACCTTTGCTCCACTAGAGCCATGGGACTGTCCTAAGTTGATCTGAGGTTCCGTCGTTCAGAACTCGACAGACCCCATTTCTCACTGCTGCCAGCATCAAGTCTCACAGTACCTTTGATGTCCTCATTTGTTTCATCCACTTCTCATTTTGTGTTATCTTGGATGGGTGGCAAGGTCTACTAAGAAAGGAGCTGAGGATTTAAAGGCCAATCCAGGATGACCCTCTCATCACTCGATGACAAATTTTCCTTTATATTACTAATGGCTTTTACTCAACTCATTTGCCATGACTTAAATAGAATTAACTTAGGCTGCTATTGCTAATATGCCATTGAGATATTTCTTCTGATTGGATTATCAGAGTGATGAGAGGATTAGTTTCTAGGAGTGACGGTGATTATTCATGTTCTTCAAGAAATAAAAAATGTTTATGTTGCTATTAAGATGACTTGGTTATAGGTGAAATTGGAAGATGGATAATTGGCATCCTCAGCTAATTCTGAAGCTTAATTCTCCCTAATCTTTGTAATCTCCTCCTCTGCTGGGCATTTTCCCAGAGGTAGAGACTAGGATTTAGTTTGATGTCTTATGTGCCAGATATTTTCTTTTATTTCTATGACTACTCTCTAGAAATATGATCAGAAGTAAGAAAGGAGAAAGAAACAAAATTTAGATTTTTCCCATAAGATAAACATGCAGTAATAGATGGATCATTGATAGGAGAAAAATCCAATGAATTCAGAATGGACTGTTTTCTGAATTTCTCAAAGATTAAGAAAACCCTTAGAATATGTTTTTCAGTAGCAGAAAGGACTTTATTTTTTTTTCTTTCTGGATCACACCCAGTGATGCACAGGGGTTACTCCTGGCTCTGCACTCAGGAATCACTCCTGGCAGTGCTCAGGGGACTGAGCATATGGGATGCTGGGAATCGAACCTGGGTTGGCTGCGTGCAAGGCAAACGTCCTACCCGCTGTGCTATCTCTCCAGCCCCAGGAGAAAGGACTTTAAAAAGAATGAAATTACATTGCAAAAGACCCTTTTTCAAGATTTAACTTTTTTTTTTTTTTTGCTTTCTCTTTTGTTTTCTTTTTTGGGGCGGAGGGGTTGGGAAGATTGTATCACAATGGCTGTGTTCAGGGACCACTCCTGGCTCTGTGCATCAGAAGTCACTCCTGGCAGGAATTGGGGCCCCATATGTGGCGCTGGGGATCAAATTGGAGTCGGCCACATGCAAAGCTGGTGCTTTCTTCACCCCGTACTATCTCTCCAACTCTATTTTGGCCTCTGAAAAGACACTGCCATTTAATTTTGTTTTTATTTGGGGAGGAGTGCTACTCCCAGTGGTACTCAGGCATCATTCCTGGCAGGGATAGGGGGACCGTATGGGGTGCCCGGGATCCAATCTATGTCACCACATGCAAGACAAGCGCCCTGCCCTCTATACTATTGCTCTGTCCCCTCCCTGCCTTTTTTTTTTTAATGTTCTTTTAAAAACTTTCAGATTCATCTAATGGTTTGGGAAATTTGTAATATACCAGTTCCCCTTTCTCTTTATGGGTAATGTTTTCTTTTAAAACATCCTTTTTTTGTTTTTAGTATTAAACAGGATGACTGTTCCTGTTTACTTACATATAAACAAATATAACAGCCCCCATTACACCTGAGGTTGCTACCACCCCTCAGGAATAGTTCAGCACCAACCCCCCACCCCACCTCCAGAGGGGTTGGATGGTGGTGTCACCCTCTTGGAAATGCTGGTATAGACAAATAGCTGATGAGAAGAATCTAGGGAGGCAGAGAGAAGCTGGAAGGCCTTGAATGGTAGGAGACTTCCTGGCCCTCCAATCTCTTCTTTTTATAATGCCAAGAGATGCTCCTGATACTCTGAAAGCTCCCGGAAGCCTCCTCTCTGTGTGGTATTGATTATTAGCCATGTTGCCTCTGAAGAGTCCAAAGCTTTCCCTGTCACTGGCTTTCTCTGTTAAAAATTGTCTTTTTTCCTCCCCCTCCCCCATTTTTTTGCTTGCGTTTTCTCTGGCAGGTCAATGAGGTAAGCAAGACGACCATTACTCTCAGATACCGAGCTAACCCATCCATTGATATGACTAACCCCATCCGCATCCATCACCTGTGTCTGAGCATCTCGCTTTGTCGCCCTGTAACCTCATCCTCCTGTCACCCCTCTGCTGAGCCAGGCTCTTGTCTTGCCGATAGCCTCTAGTCAAGGGTAGGCATGGAATGTTACCCACAGGTTCGGTCCTTGAGCTGTTCAGCACCAGATAACTCTTCTTTCCTAATGCACTGATTTGAGAGAGCCCCTTGGGAGCCTTTGTCATTGGCGGGTTAAAAAAAAATGGCGGGAGAATGAATTGCTCTTGAGCTGCATGTCTCTGGTTTGCCAAGGCCTCAGCCTCTGTTGCAGCCCCTTATCAGGCTTATGGTCTTGTGTATTCAGTTACGCAGCTCCTTCAAGCAAGCTTTCGGGAAGAAGAAGTCCCCCAAGTCAGCTTCCTCTCATTCAGACATCGAGGAGATGACAGATTCTTCCTTGCCTTCATCACCAAAGTTGCCACATAACGGCTCCACGGGCTCCACTCCACTGCTGAGGAATTCTCATTCCAACTCTCTGTAAGTCTGTCAGGGTCAGAGGGCGCAGTGAGCTCCCCAGTGTCCTCTGAGTTCCGGAGGGCTTGGCATCCATTTGCAACTTACCAGTCCACTCACAACTTGTAGCATTATGAGTGTTCTTTGGGGTTCTTAGGACTAGAGACATTGAAAGAAAAAAAAAACCACAGAGGTTTAGTGGAGGAACAAGTGTGTATTATTAGCCAGGCAAGTTGTTTAACCTCTCTGTTTCCATTTAGTCATCAAATTGGTCTAGGTGTGTTTACTTATCCTGTTTGTTTGTTTTTTTTAATGTAGTAGTACTGCTATTTATTTATTTATTTATTTTTTAGTGAAACACCATGAGGTACAGTTGTAGACTTACAAATTTTTGTGCTTGAGTTTCGATTATACAATGATCAAATACCCATCCCTCCACCAGTGCCCATTTTCTACCACCATGGATCCCAGTATCCCTCCCACCCCCCCCCACCCCCCCATCCCACCCTGCCTCTGTGGCAGGGCATTGCCTTTTGTTTTCTCTCTCCTTTTGGGTGTTGTGGTCTGCAAAAGAGGCATTGAGTGGCAATCATGTTCAGTCCATAGTCTACTTCCAACATGCATCTCCCATCCTGGGAGTATTCTCCAAACACCCTTTATTTGGTGCTCTCTTCTCTATCTGAGCTGCCCTTTCCCTTGAATGCCTGGCTGGCCTCTAAGCCATGGAGTAATCCTCCTGGTACTGATCTCGGCTATTCTTGGTATTAATCTCCTATTTTGTTACTTTATGTCCCCCATATGAATGCAATCTTTTTATGTCTATCCCTCTCTTTCTGACTCATTTCACTTAGCATGATATTTTCCATGTAGTACCACTTGTATGTAAATTTCATGACTTCATCTTTTCTAGGAGTACTGCTATTTATTCAGCCACTGATTAGCTGATTGAATTGGGCATGAACTCCACCTTTTTTTCCCATTTTTTAGAATTTTATTTATTGAATCACCATGAAAGCAGTTACAAAGCTTTCGGGTTTAAGTCTCGGTCATACAACGAAACACCTGTACCTTAACCAGTGCCCAGTCTCCACCACCAAAATCCCCAGTATACCCCCATCTCATACCCTCCCCCTACCTGTGGGACAGATGATTTCCACAATACTCTCTCTTTACTTTGATCACATTCAATATTTTAACACCAGACCCACCATTATTATTTGGGATTTTACCCCAACACTCAGATCTGCTGAAAAGGCAACAGTAGACAATTTGTTTTCTATTGCTAGTTAAGAATAACATATGATGTCGCGTGGCTGCAGTAGTGGCCGTGTGATTTTGAAGTTCTGAAATTTTAACACTTAAATCTGGAGGAATTTGGCCAAAACCTGCTGGGTTCCAAGATTTGTTCCTGAGTCTCTGGGATCATGGCCATCAAGCAGCTTGATCAGGAGCCAGAAAGGCCATTCATGGGCAGCAACTTGGAGTCTTGTTGGGACGGGGAGGAAAGGGCCAGCTTCAACCCCATCCTGTGTCTCGTCACTGCAGGCCCAAACCTGACTGTCCAGTGACCTGGAGGATGGCAGCCACCGGGCCACCAGGGGGGCAGGCCAAGGCACAAAACCTATTCACACCTGGGGTGGCCCAGTGCCGGTAACATACTACAGAGACCAGACGCATTTCTGCCAAAAGCCACTGGGTTTTGAGATTTGTTTCTTAGTCTCTGGGATCATGGCCTTTAAACGGCTTGATCAGGAGCCAGAGAGGCTGTTCATGGGCGGCGACTCAGGGTCTCGTTGGGATAGGGAGGAAAGGGCCAGCTCCACACCCATCTCGTGAGACCCCACGTGTCTCATCACTGCGGGCCCAAACCTGACTGTCCAATGGCCTCTGGCAGATGGCGGACACCAAGCTGCCTGGGGGGAGCAGGCGGAGGGACAGCACCCGTTCCCCCCCTGGGGTGGCCCAGCGACAGTAACTTACTGCGGGACCCAGATGCATTTCTGCCAAAAGCTTCTGGGTTTTGAGATTTGTTTCTGAGTCCCTGGGATCATGGCCATTAAGTAGCTTGATCAGGAGCCAGAGAAGCTATTCCTGGGCGGTGACTCGGAGTCTCGTTGAGGTGGGGAGGAAAGAGCCGGATCCACCCCCATCCTGTGAGGCCCCGCGTGTCTCATCACTGCGGGCCCAAACCTGACTGTCCAGTGACCTCTGGAGGATGGTGGCCAATGGGCCGCCAGGGGGAACAGGCCAAAGTATGAAACCTATTCCCACCTGGGTTGGCCCAGTGCCAGTAACCTACTTCAGGGACTGGATGCATTTCTGCCAAAAGCCATTGGATTTTGAGATTTGTTTCTGAGTCTCTGGGATCATGGCCATTAAGCAGTTTGATCAGGAACCAGAGAGGCCATGCCTCCAATTATATAGCTGAGCCTGAGGTGGTTTGTGGATGTGTCTCCCACATACCTAACTTTTGGCCATTTACTTTCTTGGTACACTTTGCCCCAAGTTTTTGGGGTCTGGCCAAAGGCACAGAAGCAATTTTAGGGTATCTGGAAGTCTGAAGGCGCCATCAGGCTGCTGATGCACTCGCCTCACAGGTACAGATTGACCTGCTGACGGCACCATACCCCCTACTTATTCTATTTTAAGGGCTGGAGAGATAGCACAGTGGGTAGGGCATTTGCCTTGCACATATCCGACCCAGCCGACCCGAGATTGATCCCTCCACATTCAATTCCTCCGCCCTTCTCAGAGAGCCTGGAAAGCTACCAAGAGTATCTCACCCGCACGGCAAAGCCTGGCAAGCTACCCGTGACATATTCGATATGCCAAACACAGTAACAATAAGTCTCACAATGTTACTGAGCCTGCTCAAGCAAATAGATGAACAACGGGATGACAGTGATAGTGACAGTTTTAAGGACTACACAGAATAAATGTATTATCCATACGCAAGACAAGTGCCTCCCCCACTATACTCTCTATACTCTATACTCTCTACTCCAGCCCCAGTTTAAAGTATTTGCGCAGCAACTGAGGTGAACCTGGCACCATTTTAGATCTTGATCAGAAGAAGGGCCTGAGCAATAGTCCAGCAGGTAGGGCGCTTGTTTTGCACATGTCCAAACCATGTTTGATCCCCAGCACCCCATATGGTCCCCCAGCCCTGCCAGGAGAGATCCATCCCTAGTCACAGAGTCAGGAGTAAGCACTGCGCCCAGCTGGGTATGTCCCTAATTCCCTGCCCGTCTCAACCCCACCAAAATAAAAGACCAAAGAAGATGCCTCCCCAGTTCCCAGATGGGAAGGATTCCATACTGATCTCAGAACAGATGACAAAGTGCAGCTCCGCCCCCCCCCGCCCCCCCAGCCACTGCTCCCTGCCAGCACCGTGCATGGCTCCCGTTGCAACTGTGAGGTGGCCTGAGGAAGTCCCTACTCCAGGAACCCTTGCCACCAGGGCTGTGGGGAGAGACACTGACTCCAGAATTCTGAACAAACAAATCTGATACTTCTGAGAGTCACGACAGTGAGTTGGGAGACTGAGCAACCTGGCAGCAAGTTCAGTGCAGGAGGACGTTTTTCAGCTGAGCTCTGCAGATATAAAGAACTGCCCTTAGTTCTGGTCACTAGCAGCCAAAAGTCGCAGTAGCAATGCTTCGTGTCTTGACTCTGAGTGTTTAGGGTCGGTTCCCCCTAACACAGAGCAGATACTCCCTGCCTTCAGGCAGTCACCTGTGTGGAGATGCAGGCTCAGCGAGGCAGTATCCAGCCATTGACCAGGGTGCCCAGGAGACCCCAGTGAGCTTCGTGGAATGGGCCTGGAAGAAACATCATCTCTCCTCAGTGTCCACCTAACAGGTTTCAGGATGCTGTCACTACAGGGTCTGGACAGCCCTGTATCTTGGGAGGCCCACCAATAAAATAAAAAATAATAAATAGACTATTTTTCACACCAGAGAAATAGTACAGTTGGTAAGGTGTTTGTCTTGTATGCAACCAATGCAGTTTCGATCCCCAGCATCCCATATAGTCACCTGAACCCCACCCACCAGGTGTGATCCCTAAGTGCAAAGCCAGGAGTAATGTGGGGTATGACCCCCAAACCAAAATAATAATACTTTAAATCTCATATGCCCACACAGAAACCAGCACTTGTCCTTCTGTCATTCCCTTTCTCCTGTTTTTCTCTGTTTTTTCTCCATACCCATGTCATCTAGTTCTTACTCTGGAGAACCTGGCAGGCTACCAAAAGTATCCTGCCTACACGGCAGAGTCTGGCAAACTCCCCGTGACGTATTCAATATGCCAAAAACCAGTAACAATGATGGGTCTCACTCTCCTGACCCTGAAAGAGCCTTGAATGTGGCACTTTCTAAAATCTCAGGGCTAGGATGAAGGAGATGTTACTGGTGCCTGCTCGAGGAAATCGATGAACAACAGGATAACAGTGATACAGTGATACCCATGTCACCAACAACCACCCTCCGAAAATTGGCAACAATCTACTTCCTGGGACTCTGTTGCTCTTGTGGACATTTGAATATTAAGTAGAGTCATTGAATGACTTATTTCAGTGTACATCCTGGATAGATTTAAGATCTGTTGTGGAAAGGGAGTTGACCATACTGGACAGTGATGCAGGATGGGAGGGGAAATGGAGAATAATCCTTAAGTATTTTCTGGTCTGCAATTTAAGTAGCTCGGTGTAGAAAGACACTGCTTCTGACAAGCATGGGGGTGAGGGGGGCTGTTTGGACCACGTTGGAGATGCTCAGGAGACATCCATGAGGACGTACCAAACAGTTTGGAGCCTGAGGTATAGATTTGGGAAATGTGGGCTCAGAGGTGTTTCTGAAAGCTGGAAGTGGGAGAGGTTCTTCAGGAGTTTGTTGTTGTTGTTGTTGTTGTTGTTTTGCTTTTTAGGGGGGGAGTCACACCCGGTGATGCACAGCAGTTATTCCTGGCTCTGCACTCAGGAATTACTCCTGGAAGTGCTTGGGGGGGGGGGGGGGCACATATGA